TTCAAAAGGTTTAATGGCGGTGGCAGATGTTGAAGTTAAATTCACCAACTCAAACAAACAGTCAAAGTGTTGTTGTCAATGTCAAAGAAAGAGATGTTGAAGTGGGGAAACCATACGAAGACGAAGATGTATAACAATATTCCTGTAAAAGAACAACCAACATATCCTGAAGTAGCAGAGACTTAAGTTCTGTTGCAGATATTCGAAACGACTACAACAACTTAAAGACAAACTTAAAACTCAGGAGAAGATTTGTCAGGCTCTTGGGTATAATGTTAAACTTGGTTGAGCACAACCCTGTAAAAGTGAACTCATATGTCATCGCACCTCATGAAATTTTGAAAAGAACTATTGAAACTTTTGACAGAGGCAGACGATATAAACATCAAAGAAATAGAACCCGACATTGCTTGCTGTGGTGTTTCATATAATGTCATTGACAAGATATACGTTATGAAAGGAGGTGAAACGTTGAACTTAAAATATAGTTTTCCCAGACGTCATAAAAATATTTGACGACCACAACATTTCATTAAAGTTTGTTTGCTAAGTAAATGGCAGAAGACATAGTGGTTTTACTATTACGACTAAAAACCCTGAGTCATATAATTCTATAACAACAAACTTACAAAGTCCTCAAGGACGGTATTGTAAACTAACTTTAACACACAATGACGACTAAAGCCTGTTTTGCTCTTTTGACACCAGAAGACTTTGTTGTTGTGAATGGTAAAAAATACTTCTTTGAAGATACTTACTCAGATATACCACCAACAGGTTTTGTTGACTTATTTAAATACTTTAAGGACGGATGTAACATTGTGCTGCAACTAGAGCAGGTTTCATTATGTTTGGATGTCCGACTGAGTTTACTATAAACGATATGAGCTATAATACAAAACTTATATCTGGTTTTTACTACCAAACAATTTCCTATAACAGGAAAAGGTGTCATACAAGGAATGTCTATTCCATTGACATTAAGCACACCAATCTTATATATTGTTTCAAACTTTAGGTTCAAAGTGCTATTCGAATGTCGACAGAAACTACTATGACCAAAAAGATACTCATGCGTATAACACAACACTTTCTCTGCTGGTTTGCCTATTGTTCATTCGAATGCAGAGTTTTCAGCTTTAGTGAACTCAAACACTTTAGCAAACATAAACTTAACCTTAGTCGACGCAAAACTTTGTTCCTGTAAAACTTTTATGTCCTATGTATTTGTCAATGACGGCAAGAAAGTTTCGAATTGGAAGATGCAACTGGTGAAAGTATTGTACTACAAGAACAAACTTCAACAACAAATAGCTCAAGAAACAAACAAATGCAACAAATAGCTCAAGAACAACAAAGTCAAGAATAAAAAAAATATTTTTTTTTATTTTTATAAAATGTACAGAATAGATGTTTCAGATTTTTATGACTTCCAAGCGTTCAGAAATATGTGTCCATTTCGAGACTATAACAAAGCAGTCGAGAATTTGAAACGTTTAGTCATTTATGTCGACTCTGCCCCAGAATGTTATGTCATGAAAGAATGGGATGTTGTCTTTAACAAACCAAGAGCGACAATAGTTTCAGAACAAGAAATGTAGACAGAAACTTAAGAAAATAAAAGTCGTACAAGTTGGCATGAAGATGTTAGATGCTTGGGATATCTTATTGTCAAAGTTAGAAGATTTTTCAGTTCGTGTATAAAGTTCTATACACCTTCTCCAAACTTCTATTCTATCTTCACTGGATATAAATACGAACAAGTAGAATGGAAAGAAAATGTTATAGAAGCTTGGTTAGACCATGTCAAAGAAATTATATGCAATGGAAACGAAAGAGTCTATGAGTATATCTTATGTTGGTTTGCAAACATCTTACAATATCCAAGTGCTAAAAATGAAACTGCTCTCATTATAATTGGAAAACAAGGAACTGGTAAGAATACTTTCTTTACAGATATTTTGTGCAAACTGTTAGAGGGCTATTCGAATCCGAATATGACAAACTTAGAAAACATCTGCGGTAAATTTAACTCTTCAATAGAGAATATGAAACTTATAGTATGTAACGAACTTCAAAGTATAGATACAACAAAGGTTTTAAACTCAGATGCTTTGAAGAGTCTTATAACAGACAAAGTTGGAGTTGTTGAAAGAAAATATAAAGACCAAAGAGTTTGTGAAAATGTTGCAAATTTCATTATGGTTTCAAACAATGTTGTTCCGATGAAGTTAGAAAGTTCTGACAGAAGATATGTAGTTGTCAGAACGTCAGATTCTCATATGCAAGATACAGAATATTTTGACGACTTAGCAGAAACTTTGACATCTGACTTTTACAACCACTTGTTCTCATATTTCATGACATTAGATATTTCAAAGTTCAATCCAAGACAAATTCCATATACCGAAGAAAGACAAACATTGTTAGAAGCAAACAAGAGTGTATATGAACTGTTTATAGATGAGACTAACTTTGAGTGTTTAGATGAAAGGTCATTGTACGATGAATATAAACAATATTGTCAAGAGTATGGTTATATGGCAGCATCTAAACGAACATTCTTGGCAAACGTCAAAAATCTTTTAGATGTTCAGAACGGCGTATATACAAAGAAAAATTTTTCTGAGTAAATTTTAAAAAAATATTTTTTTATCCGATAGAAAAGATGACGAAATATATTTCAGTCAACAAATATATGTCAGGACTTAAAGAAGAACTAGACCCATTCGCTTATTTGAACGTTTACTTCTACCATTTTGAAAAGTCTACATTTGACAAAGTTTGGAACATCGAACCGGTTAAGTTTGCTGTCGTGACTAAAAATGGTGCGAAATTTGAAGACTTAGACATAGAAGGTTTGTTAGCAGTCAAAGAAAATTTTGACAGAAGGTTTTCAAACCTTAAAGAAGGCAAAGCATACAAACTTGTTATACCTTATGAACCAAAGAAAGCAGACGACTATGAATATTATGAGTCTAAGATAGTTGAAGTTCAAGGTAAATTAGGTAAAAAGATTTTAGAGTCTAAGCCAGTGTTTGCTCCTAAAGAGGAAGAGAACATTGACATTGACCCAGAAATGTTCTAAAAATAAAATTTTATTTTTACATGTCATATCTCCCCTTCTCTGGAACTGGTTCAGGTTCTTTCTTCTCTTCTTCTACTTTCTCTTCTTCTACTTTCTTCTTCTTCTTCTCTGGTGGAGTTATGTCAAATTTCTCAGAACCATATTTATGTAAAAGTTCTTTGTCCTTTAATAGCTCTTCTATTCTGTTTCCTATTTCATCTTCAAGAACAGCGCATGTGTCTTCTTTGCATTCTAAGAACTTTTGTTGGACTTCATCTTTCCAAGAGGCGTCATCTCTGTCAACAAGTCTGTCATTGACAAACTTAAAGACTTCTCTGCCTAATGTTTTATGGTTCTTGTCATATTCCCAGAAACAGAACTTTAGAACAAATTCACCTTTCTTGTTTACACTATGTAAGATTTTATGGTCGACAGATGTTTTGCTGTCGAAAAGCTTGTCTCGAATATAGATAGCGAAATCGCTAGACATTTCCTAAAAGATAAAATTTTTAATTTTTCTAAAAATATGTTAGAAAAAAAGTTTGCTGACATTGACAAGAAATTTGAGAATGTTTTAAACAAGAACAAGAGGAAGTTAGAAAATGCTCAGATAAAACCCATACATGACAAGTTCTTATTTGCTCAGAATGGTATAACAGGTCTAATCGCACCGCCTGGGTCGGGTAAGACTTTCACTTATCTTAAAATGGCTGCACAACAACAAGAACTAGATGAGAAGAACCCATTTTATGAGTTAGTTGTTATTTGTAGTACTTCTGGTCAATTTGACCAAACCGTCAATTCGTTCAAAGATATTATAAAAAAGTCTAAGTTAGTATGTATAAAAGACTCTGAGTTGTTGGATTGGATAAAGAAGTACCAAAGAAGAGTTTTGAAGTACAATGCTATAAATGAGTATGTCAATTCGAGGTTTAAAGACCCAAATGAGGAAATGCAGAGAATATTAGAGAAGAAACACTTCAGAAACAAACAGAAAGAGATAGAATACATTTCGAAGAAATTGCAATCTTACGATTGGAAGACTTACCCTCATAGGTGTCTTCTTATCTTAGATGACTTTGCTTCTCATCCTTTGTTAAAGAACAGAGAACAAGACATGTGTCGAATTCTTAAGAAGCTCAGACACTTTAACATCTCAGTTGTCATTTGTGTACAGACAGCAAAGAGTTTAAGTAAGGATGTAAAGAGAATACTTACTGACATTGTACTTTTCCCCGGATTGTCCGAAGACGATTTCATGGAACTTATGAAAGAGTCCATGGCAGGTAAGTTTGACAGACATGAACTCTGGGAGAAGTACAAAGTCATACAAGACCCTCATACTTCTTTCAGAATTCATATCTACGCGAACAAAGTTCAAATTGTAAAAAGTCAAGCTTGAAAAATCTAAGTGTTTAGTCTTAGTAAGTCTGTTGTGGTGCTGGGGCTGTCGGTTCTTCTGGCTTTGGAAGGCATTCAGGAAGAGGAACGTCAGTCATCCGTTTGTGTCCTGTCGGAAGGAAGAACTTTTCCTGTTGGAAGGAAGAACTCTTCCTGTCGGAAAGAAAAACTTTTTCTGTCGGAAGGAAAAACTTTTTCTGTCGGAAGGAAAAACTTTTTCTGTCGGAAGGAAAAACTTTTTCTGAAGTTCGACCAAAAAGTTCTCAATTTTCGAAAATTTGAATGGTTTACGGACGGACAACTGGAAAATTTTTTCCAGTTGTCAGGAAATTTTTTTCCAGTTGTCGGGAAATTTTTTTCCAGTTGTCGGGAAATTTTTTTCCAGTTGTCGGGAAGAACTTGGAATGTCGGAAGGAAGAACTTGGAATGTCGGAAGGAAGGACTCGGAATGCCAGAAGGATTTGACAAGACAATTTACCTTATAGAGCTACCTGAGCCATCTGAAGTCAAGCTTGAAAAATAAATGGTTCATTTACTCTGCTTGTTTGAAGTTGTCAAAATACTCTGTTATTTTTTCTTTCAGTAGCGGTAAGTCTTCTTTGAAGGTAAGTATTGTACAACCTTTCATATCATAGTGTGTTTGAGGTAACGTATCTTGAACTATCTGTTTAACATCTTCATTCGGTGTCATTGAAATCGGTAAGTTTTCGCGATAGAACCAATTTCTGTCAGATTTGTAAATCTTAGCAAGGTCGTAAAAGCTTTTGTTGTTTCTTCTGACTAAATGCAACATAACCATATCTCTGTCTTCTTCATTTTCCATCTCTTCAGTGTAAATCATATACTTATAGTTCTTTTCCTTTCCTTTTGGTACCGAACGTGGTATTCTTTTCTGTATGTTTTTGTCTTCTTTCATCATATCTTCTCTCTGCTTTGTACAAAGTTCGTCAAGAAGTTTACAAACATACCATGCATAACGAGGTGAAGCCCACATTGCTATTGAACTAACTAGGAACGTATGAACATATATACCTTTTAGATGTGATGGTAAGTTTTGTCTGTCTTGGTACATCTTTTTAAGTTCTTCATGTTCAAACTCACTGAGGAGTTCATGAGTGCTATTTAATTCAAACCAGTCTTGTGGTTTCTTAGTATCTGGAGCAAAACATGCTGTCAAAATACTTTGCATTTGGTACATGTCGTCTTTGACCGAACGAATGAGACGTAACTGTTTGTTAAACTGAACCCACTCATATTCTTCATTTATAGCTTCATGAACGATAGCAGTTGTTGTGTTCTCTGTTGTTGTCATATCTGTCTTTACATACAAAATAAAAAAATAAAAAAAATAAAATTAACTTTATTTTTTTTAAGTTTGGTCATCCTTCACTATATGACAAATATACTATATTTTACTTAAAAATATGCAAGCGGCTCATAGCTCAGTGGTATGGGCTACCTCGCTACAGGCGTCGAAGACCTCGGTTCAAATCCCGATTCGCGCAGGTTTTTTCCTTTTATGCAGTGAAATTTCATGTACATAGGTTACTTTGGTGTTAGACCCTAGTGAAGAAAATAGAACGATATAAGTTTACATTTGTAAGGCTACTTTGGTGTTAGACCCTAGTGAAGAAAATAGAACTATATAAGTTTACATTTGTAAGGTTGGACGATAAAATTTACTGACTGACGTCGGACATTGTCTTGAAAAAGTAAAAGACTTGTCTTGAAAAAGTAAAAGACTTGTCTTGAAAAAGTAAAAGACTTGTCTTGAAAAAGTAAAAGACTTGTCTTGAAAAAGTAAAAGACTTGTCTTGAAAAAGTAAAAGACTTGTCTTGAAAAAGTAAAAGACTTGTCTTGAAAAAGTAAAAGACTTGTCTTGAAAAAGTACGGGTATCGTCTGAAATCAAGACCACTGTTCTCAAATTTGAGAACTTGACACCAAAAAATTTCTTGAAAAAGTAAAAGACTTGTCTTGAAAAAGTAAAAGACTTGTCTTGAAAAAGTAAAAGACTTGTCTTGAAAAAGTAAAAGACTTGTCTTGAAAAAGTAAAAGACTTGTCTTGAAAAAGTAAAAGACTTGTCTTGAAAAAGTAAAAGACTTGTCTTGAAAAAGTAAAAGACTTGTCTTGAAAAAGTAAAAGACTTGTCTTGAAAAAGTAAAAGACTTGTCTTGAAAAAGTAAAAGACTTGTCTTGAAAAAGTAAAAGCAGATGAGGCAATCTACCTTATAGAGATAAATGAGCTAGTTAGGAACTACCTGAGCCATCTGAAGTCAAGCGTAAAAATAAACGCTTTACATGTATTTTTCAGCAACTTCGTCAAATAATTTTATAGCTTTATCTATCTCATCTACTTCAAACGTTTCTTTACCTTTTATGGGAGCACCATACATTTTCTCAAACTTTTCAAGCAGTTCTGTTTCAGCAGCTCTCATATCGTTAACGAACACAACCTTGACTCTATTGACTGTACTGTCATATCTTTTAGTTATATTAAATGTTCTTCCTATCTTATATCTCTTTGTATTGAAGTCCTTCGGTTTCTGAACGATGTAAAGTAAGCCTTCACTGCAACGTTCTGAGTCGAATGAACCATATGTTATGAAATTATATCCAACAACTGGGTCTAACCAGAACAAAACTACTGGTATAAGACTTTTGTCTATAAGATATGCTGTAGTTCCATGAAATCTTACCGATATCATAAGCTCAGGATTTCTTGTCAAAATTTTCTGAGTTGAAGCAATTTTAACCCAGTCGTTTGTTTTCTTTCCAGATGGAGATATAATGTCTGACAAAGAATATTTGTTGTATTTCTTTGAGTATCTTACGTTTAAATCACCAATTCTAACCATTTTGGTGTCATTGTCTATCTTTCTAACTGTTTCAAACTCAGTGTTTGACATTTCCTGTTCTTACATACAAAATAAAAAAAAATATTTTAAAAAAACTAGCTTTTATTTTCTATCTTAAGGAAATTCATGAAATTTGGTCATTTTTCAGCAAAAATATATTTTAGGCGACCAGGTCACTCGGTTAAATGAACTTCTCTGAAAAAGTGTGACAACATGACATTTTGACAACAACACAGGAAATATACTTCTTCGTAAATGTTTTGTCAAGACTTCTTCGTAATGAGCGTAAATCAGACAAAAATATATTTTAGGGTAGAAGGGTATATCTACCCCGTTTTCTACCCTCATTTCTACCCCATATGTCCTTACTGAAAAAGTATGTGTTCCATATGTCATTTTACTCAGAATTTTATACAGAATTCAATAAAAATATATTTTAGGGTAGAAGGGTATATCTACCCCGTTTTCTACCCTCATTTCTACCATAACTATTTACAAGCGTTTTACATGGTATATGTTGTGATGGTTCATGACTTTAAACAGTTTTGTAGCTTCTATTTCTTCACGAAGGATATCAAAAATTTTAACTATGCCGAAGGTTTCTTTATATTTCTTCTTGACATCTGAAAGAAGGAAATCGTTAGCAGTTGGATAGTTTTTGTTCAGAAATGTCAACATGTCCATTTTATCTTCTGCTGTTTCTCTACTTCTTTCTTTAAGTCAGTATGGTCTTTTCTCATTCTTTCTATCTCTTTGACGGAGTAGTTATATTTCCTTGTTGCTGCTTTACATTTTGAACATTGTGAGTTCATTTTTTGCGTTATATTCTGAAATTTGTCCTGCTAAAACAAGTAAGGCGTAGATGGTCTTCTTTAACTCAAAGGCTGCTGGTTTTATCTGTTGGTTCCATACCTTACCTCTTCTATCTTTATCTCTTATCTGCAAGACACACTCAGCAACTAACGAAACAAAGTTGTCGTAGGTCTTAAATTCTTCAGATTTATATATGTCAATGAAATATACCATATCGCAGTCTTTGTGGTTGTAATGAAATCAAGAAACTCATAGTTTACATTACGTATGAACTTCTTTATTTCAACTGAGTCAGATGGTTTCACTTCTATTTCATCGAATTCTGGAATAGTGAGCTTTTGTTGTTGTATTTCAGGAAGTTTAGGTAGATGGTCAATAATATCCTGCATTTCATAAAGATACTGTTCATTTGTTTCATCTTTCGCACTACAGTTTAGATCTCCTTGGAGAAGTTCTTGCTTTATCTTCTGGATTTCTGTTTCGAAAGTATATGAAGAAGGAATGAAGCTTTTCATCTCTACTAACATAGAAGTTGGGTTCATGACTAACGAGTTTGGTGCTGTTGTTGCTGACATGTTCTTACAATAAAAATAAAAAAATATTTTTTGGTGGGACTACCTTTATTTTATTTCAGCACAAAATGAACGAGTTTGGTTTAAAAATACGGTGGAGCCAAAAATGGCTCGACCTCAAAACAAGCATTTTGTGTGTTTTCTACGAGGGTAGAAAAGAGGGTAGAAAACGGGGTAGATATACCCTTCTACCCTAAAATATATTTTTTGTCGAAAAAAAATGGTTCATTTACTCACAATATTTTTGTACAAAACGACCCCAAACTTTTAACTTCTTTTCTGCAGCTTCTAATGCTATCTTAGCGAGTTCATATTCTCTAAATTCTCTCTTTAAATCTTCTTGTTCCCATTGGTCTAGTTCGTATGGCGAGTCTCTATAACCAGAACATATCTCACGTTCATGTTCTATTTGTTTTTCATGCATTTTTCTAACTTCTTGTTCGAACAAAGGTTTTGCATTCTCTACTGTATCTTCAAGTTCTTCTTCATCTAATTTCTCATGAACTTTCTTGTCTATGGAGTCCAGAATTTTTCCAACTGCTATACAATATTTTGGAGAAGCCCACATTGCTATATAGTTTACAAGTCTTGGGTCTACATACGTTCCTCTAACCTGTTTGATTTCATCCGGAATTCCTGCATGAATTTTGTATAAAAAGCAACCGCCGGAATTCCGACTGTTGCTATATTCTTCACAAAATGCCTTAAAATACTCTTCCCAGGACTTATTTTCCAACAACCTTCTAAAGTCTTTCCTAAACTGCTGACATATCTTTGTTGCATTTATATAACCATCCTTGTCTCTACGTAAGACTTCAATACCGTTGTAAGTGCCTTTTGTGAATGTTTCGCCATTAGATTTGTTCGTGAACGTTTTTGCTTCGACTGACATTTCTGTTCTTACAATAAAAATAAAAAAATATTTTTTGGTGGGACGTCGGACATTCGTTTGTGGCTTAACCGTCGGACCACAACGATAAAAATCTCGACAAAACATATACGATGAAGTCTCGACAAAACATATACGATGAAGTCTTAACAAAAAATATACGATGAAATCTATTTCCTGTGTTGTTGTCAAAATGTCATGTTGTCACACTTTTTCAGAGAAGTTAAAATGACCGAGTGACATGGTGACACCTTCAGTAAACATCTCATTTTAACTCACTTTTTTTCTATCTTAAGGAAATTCATGAAAATTCACCTGTTGAACTTTGTATAAAAAGCAACCCGCCGTTTTCCGCGGGTTGGTATATTCTTCACAAAATGCTTGTTTTGAGGTCGAGCCACTTTTGGCTCCACCGTATTCTTTCAACCAAAAACTCATTTTTGTCGAATTCAGCACAAAATTCATGAAAATTCAAGAGGGTAGAAAAGAGGGTAGAAAACGGGGTAGATATACCCATCTACCCTAAAATATATTTTTCAGTACTTTTTCAGCACTTTTCCGTAGTTGTATATGAAAGACAATTCGAGATAAAAGTCGTAGTACAATGGAATAATATGCTGCACACCGTTTGTTGTGAACCAAACTTGAAAGTCAGAGAAACTGTTACTAGGTGGTTCGTAGAATTTAGAAGCAAAGTCATAAAAGTCCTTACCGATACAAAGAAAACTGTTGTTGCTTGAACTGAAACTTGCATGACACATAACATTTTGAGGGTCAAACACGTTTCTATAAACTGTCAAATCTGTTGGTGGGCGTATAAATTTAAACGGACCGTCAGGTGGTAATGGTTCGTTCTGGTTTAGTAACCGAAGAAATTGTGCCCAAGAACGTTTGTCTACTTCCCAAAATAAAAACTGTGTACTTCTTCGAGGGTTATTTTCAATCCTTTGAAATGAAACTGTGGAGTTCATCTTGTCATATTCTAGTTTCAGATAGTATGTTCCATTTAGTAAAGAGTCGTATTTTTCTTGCAATTCCCAGTAGTATTTGTTTATTTGAGTTTGAAAGTCATTTAGAGTCTTCTCAAGGTTTTCGTCTGAACGAATTGTAAAGATTCTCATTTCGTCAAATTTGTCTATTAGACCATCATCACCTCTATACTGCCCGTGAAAATATACTGCGAACATAAACGCGTTAGTTCTATTTGAAAACAAAACTCTTCTAAATCCTATTGCCTTTGCATCTGAAGGACTTTGAAGCCAACGAATTGGATAGTCGAACCTGTAAGCTCCGGATGAAATTTCTTCATCTGATATAGTCCTACCGGCATTTGTGAAGATATAGTCTAACGGTTTTGTATCTGCTACTTTTGTTCTTTGTTTTTCAACCTGAAACATTTAATATATGTAAAAATATACTGTTTTAAAAAATGTTTTAAAATGGTATGCCATATAGCTTCTTGAATTTGTTAAGATGTATTTGAACGTATTTTCCATCTGTATCTCTAGCGTTTACATGAGCATAGCCCGCCTTAGTAAAACATACTTGTAATTTCCTATAGTTTACGCCGGTATAAAAGTAGAAAGAGTCTTGTTCTTCGCTATAGTAGTAAAACTCAAACGTATGCTTGCCATAGTCTGTAATTTCAATTGCTTCATCTTCTAGTTCGTCGACAAATTCGAATACAATATCTGCAAATTTGCTTTTGTTCTTATTGTTTTCAGAACGAGTGACCCAACGTAAGTTTTCAAGTCTATTGTCGTTTCTTATATGGTTTATATGGTCTACAAAAGGTAAATTGTTAGGATTCGGTATAAAATGAGTTGCAATGACAATATGTTTAAAATAGTTTTTTCCACTCATCTTCATCCTAGCATATCCGTTATTTTGCTCCCATTCGCTTAAAACTCTTTTTGTCTCTTTTTTTCTGACTTCAAATGACTCACAACAGTGAATTTCATATTTCTCATCTAACAAACAAGTTTTCCAACAGTCTTTTCCAACAAACTCAGCGTACATTTCAAATAAAATAAAAAAATATTTTTTTGAAAAAATGTTTTATTTTAAATGGTATGCCATTTCATATTTCTCATCTAATTTCTCATGAACTTCATCGTCAATGTTTTGTTAAGACTTCTTCATCTATGTTTTCCCAACGGTCTTTTACGACAGACTCAGCGTACATTTCAAATAAAAATAAAAATATGTTGTTTTCTTTACTTAACATAACCACCAGCTACCATAAGTCTTTGACGCCAACCCATACCAGCTAATGAAGGTTGACTTGGTTTAGTTTGGAAACTAAACTTTGGTTTTGGTTTATCTTCAGTTTTTGGTTTTTCTTCTTCTATCGGTTTTTCGTCACTTTTCGGTTCACCTGACTTTACTTCACTTGCAGGTATGGTTGTGTCGTTAACATCTTCGTAAATATCATATGCCATTTGTTTTTGTTTTCCTTTCAACTTTTTGTGTTTGTTGTAAAGTTTAGAATATTTTGACTCTAAGTCAATGAGATGTTCTATAATGAACTGTTTGTCAGTGAAGTAAACTTTTCCATCTGTTGTCTCGAAAGCTCCTTCAGACTTCAATATTTTATTTGTGAGAGTCTGTTTCTTTTTTGAGATACTAGCCGTTCCATTTCTATGAAAAGTGACTTTGTAGTTAGGGTTTGTATTTCCAGACCTGGCACTTTCTATTATTGAATTTTTCTCTTCATCTGTAAGTTCTTTGACAGGTTTTGACAATGGTTCTGAACTTTTTGTTTGTGGTGTCAAATCTACCGTTTCAACTTCTTCGGTCATTTCATCTCAGTAAAAAATTTTAGTTTGTTTTGTTTTCAACTGGTTGTTTAGGTTTTTTAAGTCGGTCTAAAACTTCCTGAGGTATAGGGAGGACTTGACAAACACGTGGTTGTGTAACTGCTGGAAGTCGACAAATCCATCTTGAACCCATTTGTCTCAATGCTGTATTGTTCATTTCATCTCAGTAAAAAAATTTACATTCCCCACGTTTGAGGCGGTTGCGGTTGGTTGTTGTTTACCCACTGTTGTGCATGGTTATATCCTCTGTTAAAGAATCTTTCACCTTGGTCCATATAGTGTCCTGCTTGGTTATAGTAGTCATTTGCTTTGTTATAGTAGTTTCCTGCTTGTGTTCTTACATTGTCCATCCAGCCTTGAACTTTTCCTCTTGTTTCAGGATTTGGAATAAGATTTGCTGCATCTCGTGCTACATCCCAACCTTTCTGTACAGTTTGTATAATAGGTTGTGCTTTCTCTTTCAGTATACCTAATGTACTCAAAATCTTCCTTCCAACTCCAAATACACCTCTGGCTATTGTTCCCACTGCGGGTAAAAATCTGGATGCAACTCCTGCTAACGCGCCAAATAAACCCATTTCTTATGGGTTAAAAAATGACGAATCCAAACAAGGACCCGTATGTTTCTAAGGCAACAAAGAAAGCACTCATGGTAAAAATCTTTAGTTCAACACCAAATGCTTGGTTTATGGATATCTTGGAAAACATTCCGAGGTATAGAGAAGATGGACCACCATACTGGCTAATATTTGTCGGTCAAAACACAAGATACTGTGAAGCCATACCATTGCAGTCCAAAGCTATTTTAGATGTGAAAACTGCTTTGACAATATTTGTTGACAAATACCATCCAACAAAACTGACATCTGACTGTGAAAGTTCTTTCAAATCAGACGATATTAAAAACTATCTGCGTTCAAAAAATGTAAACCAATATTTCATTGTCGACCAAAACCATTCTGCTCTTGGTGTCATTGACAGTTGTATAAAAATCTTAAGAGACTTAAATCAACCACAAGGTGGTGAGGTAGATGAAATGTCATATGACGACAAGTACAGACACTTCTCCATGGCAAAGATGAGACAAGTTTTAAATATTTACAATAGCCGTAAACAAAAAGGTTTGGGAAACCATTCCCCTGAAGAAATGAAAAACAACCCTGACTTAGAGAAAGACTATATATTTAATAGTTTAGTCTCAAAAGAGACAAACAAGAAAGAATGCCAGGCTTCAAACTTAAGAAAGGTGACAAAGTAAAAATAGAAATACCTAAACGCGACCCATATGAAAATACTATTGACTATGACAACAATGGGAACTCGACAGGTACTCGCATTCGTGTTCGTAAAAATAGAAGAAAGTATACAAGAGAATATTATGAAGTTTTAGGCAAACATGGCAAAATGTACAGACTGCAAGCAGAAGATAAAACTACTATTGTCAGACCTCGTTTCAAACTTGTCAAAGTTCAAGGTGGTATACTTTCAAAGACAGTTCCTAACAAATATAAGACAACTCCTGACGAATATGCTAAAGAAGTTGAAAATGACGACTAAGCATTTCTATACCATGCGTAAACTGTCATGTAAGGTGGCATGTAGTCTTTACTTTGTCCCGTTGTTTGCGTATATCCTGAAACGCGATGTGTATGGTTTCCTCCTCCCTCAGTGTTACTCCAGTAACAATTTATAGCAAACTTAACGTTGTCTTTAACATCATATCCTTTACCTTTTGTCATTGCTGACCAATCCCAATATCTATGCTTATGCCAACCTGCTTGAGATGTACTTAAATCTATGTAGTGACTATGCGCAGGTAAGTTTTCACCTGAAATCGTTTTACTTCCACCTGTTTCCTTTGAAGAGTTTGCACAATACAAAAACCTGTCGACTATTTGAGTCCAAGTTCCAAAACCAAGTACTACTTCTGGTTTGGTAGAGTTCATTGACGTGTAAATAGAACCTATAGGATATACTGTTTGAAGTATTTCTGTCTTTAACGTTTGAAGCTCTGTTTTGTCAGCTTTTTTATCATATAAATCTTGAGCAGTGAATTTAACTTTGTTTTCATCCTCCATGACATAGACATTTCTACATCTAATGTATCTCATCGTCGTTATGTCATCCTCCGATGTTAAACCTTGTGGAAAGTTAGGAGGTTTCCAATTTAATACATCCCCACCAGTTTCTTCAACCGTTCCTTCAATATTTTCTATACCAACAGTTGCGAAGAAATCGTGTGTATGTCCAACGTCACTTTTCCTGTTTAAGGTTTCTTGTAAGTTTGTAATATCAGATATGGTATGTGTATGAGTCTTTTTAGAATATTCTTTGTCAGCTCTTGTCACTTCACTTGACATTTTATTGTCAACATATGTTTTATCCGCTTTGTCATCTAACTTTTCTGGTAGTTCATCTACGTCATAGATGTTATGTGTATGATGTTTTTGTGGGTATGTTCTATCTGTCCATGCGAGAATATAGTCTCTTGTTGCATCTACATACTCTTTGTCAGCTTTGTTGTCAACATCTGCTTTCAAAAGAAGTTCATCTATAGGTTTCTCGTTTAAAGTTCCTTTTGTTGGATTTATACAAACAGTATGGTTCTTACTGTCTTGAAACAGAAACTCGTCTGTCATTGGGTTTATCGTCAGTTTTAAGTTTCCTTCTTTCAATGACTCAGATATCTTAGAATAGTTTGAAAAGTTTGTTGTGTTCTTATTTAGAGCTTGTACAATGAGTTGTCGGTTGTGTTGTATTTCTCTCATAGACGCTGTTTCTTTCGACATTTTTATTCTAGATAAAATATGCTTTCAATAGAAAAAGAAAATTCAAGAGTTGCTACAACTAAACCATTAGATGAACTTTTTACGAATGTCGGTCAAAAGTTTGAGACAGAGACCGTAAAGCATGAAGGCTATCGTTTTGACTACCCACTAAGATGGTTAAGAGGCCCATCCGTCACAAAAGCTATTGGCTTTCGTAGAATGAAGTTCATTTCAGAAGCCATACATGGTTTCCCATTTACGGTCGCTTTTGAAATTCGATACTATAACAAAGAAAAACATACGTATGAGAAATTTGAACAGGGAAAACTTTTACAAGTGAATTTGCTTGTAAACTTAGAAACAACTCTTCAAGCTTTTCAAGAAAAAATAAACGATATCTATCTCGAATATGCAAAACAGTACAACATTGACGAAGGAGAGTACCATCTCGATATTTTATATGACAGGAAAAATGCAACTGTTAAATTCAATAGAATAGAAGACCTTGGAGACAACGTTTATATTTCTACAAAATATAACAACTTGGCATGGTATAGATTTTTGAGGATGTTAAATCAGCCTGCAGAATATCCAGTACACCCGGACTTTTATGAAGTCGAAAACCCTAATGGAACATATGAAAATGTTTTCGACTCAGATGCTATTATAGTTCATGCTTCATTTTCTGGTGCACAAAACTCTTTTTTATGCTTGGCAAATGACTTTTACGAAAAACCTACAAAGCTATATGAACCACCGAGTGGAAGTATTTCAGACTTTCAAGTATGGTTTACAACAGATGGAAGAAAGAGAATAGTTCCATTATACCATGCGTTTTACTTAGAACTTAGTTTCATATACAACTACTATCGAACGGTAAAAATATAATTTTAATACGGTTGAGGTGTTGGATTTGGTTGCCAACTAGACTGTGGTGCAGGTTCAGGCTGTTGTATAACAGGAGCTTGCTCTTCTGGTTCAGGGTCTTTAGGTATAATACCAACAAGCTGACCTACCCTTTTACCAATATTTTTGACTCCGTTCCAAATTCCTCTTCCTACGGTTTTTATTCCATTCCATATACCTCTTCCAACATTTCGAAAGAAGTTTCCTATCTTACTGAAGAAACCCATTTTACTATATGTAAAAATCTAATGTCCGCCTAGTCTCTTACGTTTCCTGTTGAGTTCCATTGCATTCTTTAACTGGAGCTCATACATTCTATTTCTCCTCTGGTAGAAAACATACTCTGGGTCAACTCCTGTGTTCGCGTCATCTGCATAGAGTTGTTTATATCCCACTTCAGGGTTTGTATAAAACTCTTTCCATCTCATATTTGCATACCATGGTGGTAAGCCTAACGCAGCGTCATTTGACATGGCAGTTTGCATTTGTACATCTGTTGGCACTTGACCATAGTTTGCCATTGCAGTTTGTATTCTAACTTCATTTGGAATATTCTCTGGGTTTGGTTGTCCAGGTTGCTGTGCATTCGCTAAGTTCTGTGCGTCCATTTAATATTAGATAAAAATATCTCTTACGAGTACATATGCTGAACATTTGCAGGCATTGGTTCATCTTCATATTCTCTATATCTTTCTGCCACGTCAAATAAGTAAATGACACAATGGAAAAAACCTAAAACAAGTAGTCCTATTTCAAACCACATTTAGTTACCAATAAAATTTCTTTGTTATGACACTTTTTCCGGTTTATAGGACCTCTCTCATATTCTATCTTGTCATATCTAAACTCATAGTCATGTATGTCCTCTAACCATCTCATGACACTTTCCAAACCACTTTTATCGGATGTAAAGTAAAAGCATGGATGGTTATGTAAAACGTCTAAAGTTTCTAAAGAGTCTCTCAAAGTCCAGTCTACTTGGTATTGAAAATCATATGTGTTATAGAACGGCGGGTCCACTATAAAGAAAACATTTTCCTTGTCTTTATATTTTTCATACAACTCTGTCCAATGACATCTCACAAACTCTATACCCTCAATATATTTTTCTATGTCCTCTTTGAAAACATTTGTATAGTTAAGATATAAAACGTTTGACATAAGTGTTTCAATGTCATGAACTCTTATAGAACCACTATACAATAGTCTAGAAGATATACTATCCCAGTCAATATACTCTGCTTTTTTTCAAAACCTCTCTGACAGTATTTTTCTTATCTAATGGTATACGTTCCATCTTACCTATAGGTATCTTTTTCTTTAACTCTTTCAATATTTTGTTTGTGTCTGGTATATGTTTGAGACGGTCCATATAGTTGTCGAAGTCATTGCATATAATCTTTGAGTCTGGGAATATTGTATGGCACAAATGAGATATATAGAAACTTCCACCGAACAAGTCTACAAATGTTAGACCATTCGGTAGTTTCTTAAGTTCTCTCAATAGAATATCTTTACATCTACTCTTATTTCCAAAGAAGGGTAACGGTGGTTTTGTAAAATTCATTTTATATACAATAAAAATGTTTTTTTCCTGAAAAGTGACAGAAAAGTGACAAAGCATGAAAACTACTCGGTCAAAGGTCATATTTTCAGTAAGGACATATGGGTAGAAAAGAGGTTAGAAAACGGGTAGATATACCCTTCTACCCTAAAATATATTTTTTATTGAATTCTGAGTAAAATTCTGAGTAAAATGACAGATGTTTATATGACACTTTCTCCGGTTTATAGGACCTCTCTCATATTCTATCTTGTCATATCTAAACTCAAAGTCATGTATGTCCTCAAAACTTCATTTCTCCTAAACATCTTCAGGGCTAGAAGGCACGAAGTGCCTGGAAGCCCCACTACCTTTTTTTTTTTTTTTTTTTTTTTTTTTTTTTTTTTTTTTTTTTTATTTTCTTTACACACACATTGTATATCATAGTTTTTTTTTTGGTTTCGCAAAACATCCAAAAACAAATATGCTATAAAAGTGACAATTTTAGCAAAACGAAACCCTTAACACAAATGTTATTATTTCAACATTATATTATAAATTTATCTTCATGAAATTTTTTTATGATTTCCCTTGATTTTTTTTTGTAGTTTGCACTTGTCATTTTCTAACATCGAGGATGTAAAATCGTTCAGTGTTGGACATAAATATATACACAATTTTTATTTGGAGTCAAACAAAAGAAAAATAAGGGTAGGAAAGAAATAACTCATTTGAAAATATGAGTTGTAGTAGTAACTGCAATCCTTGGTAAGAATTGTAATACGAATACAACCTTCGTTTTTGTTACCTTTGCCTTTTGCATTGCTTGATGAATATAATGGCATCGTTTCATTTCCAGGGATCATTTGAGTTTGAGTGAAATACAATTCTGAATAGTGGATACTAGAATTCGATGGATTTTCATTCAATGAACTTTTCAATGCAATACATCCTTCGTGACCTGAGATGAAAGAGCTTCCTCCTCCTCCACCGCCGGTGTATCCTAGTGTTGCCCCACTATAATATCCATTTCCTCCCATGCCTCCTATATTTACTCCATCTGGATGCACTATTCGACCAAACTTCCCTTCGTAACTGTCATATTGTCGCACAATTGTTCCATCATAAAACATGTTAAGGCTGGTAGCATTTCCACCTCGAAGTTGATTGGCTCCTTTACTTACGATCTCATTGCAAATTACTCCATTGTTTCTGCAATCAGTTTTTCCATCACTACCTTCCAAGTCGCCAGCATTTCCACCAATGGATCCCATCCATTCAGCACCTCCTCCACCGGCAGAAACCATGATACGAGACCTTAGCGATTCAGGATCAAACCAATCAAAATTACTGTTTACAGTCAATCTTATATCAGAAGATGCTCCGCCTCGAGCATAATAAGTTCCCACATTAGTTTTATAGTTAAAATCTGTGTGAGCACCAACAAATAGATAGAATGGAGTTACACTTCTCAAGTAAATAATTCCTGAAGTATAACCACCCAATCCTTGATTTCCAGGATTGCCTAGACATGTTCCAGATGCACCCCACGATTCGAATTTATACATTCCTTTGTCAAGAACAATAGTATATGGAGTACATGAATCACTAGTTTGACAGGGATATTTAAATGTATATTGATTTTTGAAAATCGAAATGTTGAGACTTCCAACATTCGATTTTGAGAGATTTAGACTTAGCAATTATCATGTTCATCATAATATATTAATTATCGCTCTAATTGCATGGTATGAAACTGGTATTTGTTATGCATTGCATCCAAATTTTCTCACGACAATATAAAAAAATTCAAATACTATTTTTTTCCCACCAATATTGGTAACATTAGTTATTTATATTTGGTGCGAGATTTATCTATGTATATAATAAATTAACCTTTCAAATATCGGATCCGATCTCTCAATTGATTTCAAAATTTATTGAGCTCCAGCAGAGTATTTGATTATACAGGAAGTGTTCAAAGCTCATCACTAAATCCAGGACGTTCCAAACTTCGTGTGTGGGGTGCTCAAGGAGGCTTTATTCATAATTCAACATATAATAGAGGTGCATATACAGAAGGTATATTAAAACTGAAATTTTCTACAAAATTAAGAATATATGTTGGCCAGCAAGGACAATGTAATACATCTGTTATTAATAGTGTATTTTATGGTGGAGGATCTAATTCGCAAGGCTGGAGCCATTCGAAATCATGCACAGGTGGTGGGATCTACTTTCATCACATTTGAAAATAATATATCTAACATAATAATTGTCTCAGGATCCGGAGGAGGGTCCGGATATTATGCTTATACGGATGGAACTGTCGAATCTTTTGGTGGTTATGGAGGACTAATAGCCGGAAATGGAGCTGGTTCTGGTTTTGGAACAGGAGCCACAATAAGTTCTGCCGGAAATGGAGGATTTTACCCAGGGACATCTGCATCTTTGTCATGCTTGGCAGAAAATGGTGAAAAGCTGACAGGTGGAAATTCATGTTCAACTTCAGAAGCATCTGCAGGTGGGGGTGGATCAGGATATTTTGGCGGTGGTGGCGGTGCTGATTTAGGAGGAGGTGGTGGAGGAAGTAGCTTTGCAAGTGACATCCTTGAAAATATAAAATATTTGAATGGAAATGAAAATATGACTGAGCCCATTGGAACAACAAACATTGGCCATGTTGGAAATGGCTTTGTCATTATTGAGCATTTTTTGTTTTGCTCTTTTGGAATTAATAAATGCATTTTTAATTTAAATTCTATTTTGTTATTTATCTTTGTTTTGGTCTAAAGTAAATAATCATGTATTTTAACTAATCTATTTTTGACTAAGCACATGAAAATATCAGATTTATGGTCCTTGAGCGAACTTTATTTTATATCTTGACAAACAAAAAGTGACATTTCAACGCCTCAATAAACATTTACAACAGCAATGGCGTTGAAATTAAATATAGAACATATAATACTGACTTCATACAAATTGGAGATGATGTCAATCCTGCAATCTCAATATCTTATGAGGGTGAATTATCTATCCCTAGGGAAATTGAAAGTAAAACTGTTATTAAGCTTTGCAATAATAGTTTTTCCAATTGTAATCTTACTAAAATTATTCTTCCTGATTCAATTGAAATTATTGGATCAAAATGTTTCTCAAATTCATCAATTGAATCAGTAGAATTTCCTTCATCATTGACAGAAATAAGTTCTGCCGTATTTTCAAACTCAAAAATCAGATATGTAAGCTTTTCTCAGTGCTCTTATCTAGAAATCATTGGTGATTCAATTTTTGCTAATTCCCTACTAGAAAATATCATTCTGCCTCCAAATCTTATTGAAATTCCTCCATGGTCATTCACCACATGCTTATATCTTCCAAATATTACCATCCCTCGAAATGTTGCCAAAATTGGAATGGCAGCTTTTGTAGATTGTGTAAATTTGTCACTTTTTATAAGTGAAAGTCCAAATTTTGTTGTTTTCAACGGCGCTCTTTATGATAAGCTCTTCACAACATTATACGCTTTCCCATCCAAATACTATTATACAGATTTAGTTCCAACAGTTAAGTTTGTTGCAAGTAGTCGAGGTTTTAGCGGTTGTAGTTTCACGGAATTTACTCTGAAAAATAGACTTGAAGGTGTCGATATGTTTCTGTTTCGAAGCTGCTTCAACTTAAAGAAGATTGATCTGAGATGCGGCGTTTTTAAAACATTGAGTTACTCTGCATTTACTGGCTGTTATAATCTTTTTGAACTGAAACTTCCGAAGACAATTGAGGAGTTTAGTTATCTTCTGTTTACTATGACAGGCAAACTGAAATCACTAACATTACCTGATAATCTGAAAAAGATACATACAAGAGCATTTGAAAGCTCTTCTCTTACTGATATCAATTACTGCGGTCTGTTTAATGTACCTTATAAAATCCCTTCAAGTTATAATGTTCATGTCACCCAATTTTATCAGGGTGGATCGTTATTTGCAGGAAAAACTATATCAGATAGGAATTTTGTTTGTGAAGCTATTTATTGCACTCATTCTTATGTAATGCTCCCTGTCATCAAAACTATACCACATAACATTCGATGCTACCAATTCTCATTTAATCTTATATTACTATCACAGGTTTTTATTTCGATTTAAACAATTTCCTTCAAAAAATAACTTATTATTAATTTTCTTGAGAACCTAATCTCTTTGACCAAATGCAAAACTATTTGTGGGATTTTCATAGAGAAATTTTGTGTTTGAATTGATAAATAATTTGTAATTTTAGAATCAAACTCTGAAAATTTCAAAAATATTAGAATTATATATAACACATTTAATTAATAAAGATGAAAGTTTCTGATTTTTTTCACTTTTTTTTGTGATGTCTTTCTGGGATACTCAAGAAGATGATGAAAACTCTCTTTCTAATATTCTCGACCATGATCCAGTTGATATGGAAGCAGTAATTACTAATCCATCTCTTTTCCAAAGCTTTAGAATCCGAGATGAACAGTTAATGAACGTTCTAATCAAAAACGAAAATCTCAAGAAGACAATTGAAATAATATTTACAAATTCTAATGTAAAAACAGCCAAATTAGGCCTTGAATTGTTTGGAGTTAAATCTCCTTTATTAAAATACGTTTTTCAAGATCAAAAACTTGCCGAAATGGTTCTTTCATATATAAATTCAACAGATGAAGTTAAAAGTGGATATTCAATTCGATTTTTCATGAATTCTTTCAAAGAAATCCCCGAAGTTACATCCAATTTCTTTAATACGTATCCAGATGCATACAAGACACTATTTGCACTTTGCGACAAAGTAGGTGTTGCCGATTTAATTACAACAATCGCTTCAAATCTTCAAATCGAAAATTGCTGGTTCATTTGGTCAGCTTTACTTATTGCAGCAGGAAAAGACCTTGGAGCTGCACCAAAAGTCTGGAAATCAGCTCCATTTTTAAAACTTGCCTCAGATTCGGCCAAAATCCAATTGAAACAAAAAATAGCTTTAATTAGAGTTGTTAAATCAATTGTTTCATCAATTAATCCATCTCCTCTTACAAACAGAATTTCGGAAATTTTACCTCAAATTTTCTCGAACCAAGAACTCCAATTACCTGTTCTAGAGCTTGCTCTTATTCTTCCAAAGAATATTACAATCGTTTCAGAAGCAAAGAAACTAGCTCTTTCTCCATTACCTTCAAATCCGAAATCTGTTGCAGCTCTTTCCATTCTTACTAAGTTTGCTTATAACAAATGCGAAGATATCTTCAAGCCACTTGCTTCAAAGTTCATTGCGGACACTTCAAACACCTTTTTCATGTTGGAATATGTTAATTTCTTCAAAGAAGCCACAAAAGATCCATCTCTTGCACAGAAATCAGCTGATCTATTCGCTCCTTACATACTAAAGAACGCAAGACGTTCAGAATGGCGTAAATCCGTTCCAAGAATTGGATTTTTAATGATGATTGCCGAACAAATTGATTTATATTCCGAAAACATTGATGGATGGGAAGATTTCAGGAACAACGAGCTTAAGCAGTGGAAGGAGAGAGAAAGCGGAACTCCTGATGATTCAGTTTCCATGGAAACAATATCTTTGGCCCAAAGAATGGCAGCTTCTGAGGGGATAAAGGGAACTTCCCCGGAGGAACCAAAAAGTGCCACTGGTATTCCACCAAAAAGTGACTTTTCCAGTCCAATTATTGAGAAGGAAGAACCGAAACCAGCGGTAGAAGAGCCGAAGAAAGTTGAGGAACCGAAGAAGGAAGAAGAGAAGGAACCAGTTAAAGAAGAAGAACCTTCAGAAGATGAAGAACCAGTAAAGACAAATAATGCGCCGAACCCACTTCAGAATTTCTCAATTCCTCCACCAAGACCACAACAGCCAAAGACTACAGACATCTCAGTTGAAAAGTTTTTCGAACTTATTAAAGATCCATTTTGGAATTACAATGGATTACCTCCAGAACAAGTTTTCCATGTTAAGGAGGCATTCGATACAGCTGAAGAAGCCTTTGAGTTCCTTGTTAAGCAAGTATAAATATGTTTTTATATTTATTTTTTAATTTTTACTTTTTAAATGAAAGAACATAATTTGATATTAGGCGTGTAAATCTCGTTTGTAGTCATATATATATATATATATTCAATACTATATATACACAATACTTTTGATCACATCCGATTTTGGCCATAAATCAAATTAATTCTGATTTTTGTGATAATCAATTATTATTCAAAAGAGTTACTAGTGTTAGAAGCTTATAAAAAATTAATACATATGTTTGAATACCATATTCTAAATTTAAATATACCAAAAGTTTTACATGCCATAATCCTTAATCATCCTTTGATAAATTGAGAACACTCTGATGTAATTTTATTATAATGGCATGTAGATAATTACTTTTCTTGATGTTTTTCTTGAATTGAGACCAAAAAATCGTGTATCTCATTTCTTTTGAAATATTGTGCAAATTTAATTTGAGTTAATCCATTATGATCTTTTGATGTGATATTAGCACCATGCGAAACTAGAATTTTTGCAATATCTAAATTTTTATAGATAATTGTATAATGAAGAGCTGATCTTCCATCCGAATCACTAGCATTTACGTCCGCACCATGAGAGAGTAGACACTCGACCATTTCTTTAGATTTTCTTTCAATGGCTGCAAGAAGAGCAGTTTTTCCCTCATCTAACCTTGATTCTGTATTTGCCCCATGTGCAATAAGGAGTTCTACAATATCTTTTCTATCAATTTGGGCGGCATCTGTTAGGGGACTTTGTCCATCAGGTGTTTCAGTGTTAACATTTGCACCATGCGAAAGAAGAAGATTTATTATTTCTTTATATTCATGAGTTACTGAAATATGAAGAGGAGTTTCTCCAAATTCATTTTGTTCATTTATTGATGCACCATGAGAAATTAGATATTCTACCATATCATAATGAAGAAATTCTGTAGCAAAATGAATCGGCAAATTTCCTAATTTATCCTCGGCATTAATTTTAGAACCATGAGAAAGAAGCAAATCGACAGTTTCTTTACTGTTATATTGCGCAGCTTCATGAAGAGGTGTTTCACGTTGATAGGTTTTTGCTTCAACTTTAGCACCATTCAATATAAGAAGTTCTGCTGCTTCTTTACTATTTCTTTGTGCAGCAAGATGAAGTGGGGTTTTTCCTTTACGATTCTTTTCTCTATGAAGAGGCCATTCATCGTCATCACAACTTGCATGAAAATGATTCAATAGAAATTCACAACCCTCAACATTGTTATAAAAAGCTGCATAATGTAATAGTGTTTCTTTATCAGTGTCAGAAATTAGCAACTCAACTTCTCCACTTTTAAGAATTTCTGTTGTTTGTGGGAATGCTGCACACCATGGAATAATTGAGTTCTTATTTTTCAAATACAATAGAAAAACCGCTTTCAAATTTTGAGCTTTTGCTATTTCACGTGTTTCTTTGGTTGTTAAACTTTCAAAATCAATTAAATCATGAGTGAAAATATATTCAAGATATTTATTATTGTGTGATAAATACGCGGCCTTGAAACATTCTGAATTAATTTGACAAATTTTAGAGCATTCATTGATAATATCAGTATTTCCGCCAATAATTGCACAGTACAAACATTGATTTGTTATTTCAAATTTCTTATATGAATTAAGGAAAATGAAAATATTTACAGAACCATAATATGCACAAGCTTCAATTAAAGAACATGCATTACAGACAGGAATTTTTATTTTGATATCTTCGATTGGCTTTTGTGTAATATAGTTTTTGAATTTTTCAATGTCATCATCCATGATCATAGTTTCAGCTTCAGTATCAATGGTGATAAGCTCATCTTCATCATCCAATGGCTTTTCAGACATGGGAGTAATTTGACAAATTTCTTTGCAACCTGTAGAAATAGTTAAATTAAGTTCATCTAAAATGTTTCTGGTATTTTTATATTCATAAATTGTAGCCTTTGTAACAGGATCTTTTAATGAATAAGATGATAAAAATTGATTAATTAATTTGAGATATAGAGATAATGATCGATAATTATATTTAACTGCTTCTAACATACTTAAAAACATCTGGCATTTTGCAACATGATATTTGTTTATCAAAACAGTCGAAATTAGGTTTAGAATTTCTTCGATAGATTCGCTTGATTTTAATCGAAACAGTTTTTGATATGCTTCTATAAAGTCATCATATTGTTTGAAAGACTCAATATTCATGATTTGCTCTTTGTAGAAACGAAAAAATTGATATGAAAAGTGACATTTCTAAACGGACAATTATCACATCAAATGCAAAATTAGTATAATGATATTGAAATAACAAATACGGATTTTAAATTTTGATTCATTTTATTTATAATTTATTTTCTGAACTTATTGAGAAATCATAAAAGACATTTTCCCCAGTTTATGCTTTTTGGCAAAAGGTTTTATCTATCATGCTTTTGTTCTTTCACCAAAACATTAGTATTAACATTGATAAAGATATTACTTGCATTTAGCTTATAACATATATATCATTGTTACAAACTGCATTAACTGCTTAATATTTTAATCCTATTGAGCTATTTGATATGCAATTTTAATATCATTCGGGAATTGTTAGCATTCAGCAATGAATAACAATATATTATTTATTAATTGCTATGAACAAAAGAACTAAGATATACTACGCCCAAAATTGCAAAATTTTAAAAATTGAATTCAAATAAAAAGCATTTTGATATTACTTTTTACTAGAAAAATTAACAAACATCAGATTACATTTACATACATCATAAGAAAATGCAAATCTAGAAAATTTGTTAGAATTTGTAAACTTGATTGATAACGGATTTTTCCAATATTTATGACCGCTGTTGCAGACGACTTCGATGAAGTCCATCTACCAGTGGATATAACAATAGAATCATATGATACACTTCTTCTACTTATGGCATCCAACGAACCAAACGTTTTAATGCCAACTATTTCAGCATTACGCGAAAGAATTTCAGACGAATCAATGGTAAATGCGACAATTCAACGAATAGTAGAATTAGCGTCAAATTTCAAGAATGATCAAGTTTTAATCGTTATTTCATGGTATTTAGCAGCGCTTGCTAATTCTGCTTGCAAAGAGAAATGGGCGTTTGAGCTCCTTTCCAAATCAGGCGCAGTACCTCATATAGTACATTTCGCATCACAATTCGATACTGCATCATTATCTGAGCGTTGCTTTGAAGCTCTCGTTGCTCTTGCTGAAGATCCAGTTACATCTCGCGAAATTATTGCTAATGGAGCACTTGATGCCTTCAAGGAAGCTCTTAAACGCGATGATCCTACAATTCAATCACAAGTTTCACTTGCATGCTTCAGAATGAGCACAGATTTCGAGAACCGCCGCGCTATATTAACCAGCGGACTCTTTGATAGCCTCATAGATTTCTTGGCTACAGAGGATCTCGATGAAGAAGTTCTCAACAACGCTCTTCAGGCAACGGGCAACATTCTTACAGATCCAGAGTGCATCGTTCACTTTGAAGAACGTGCAGGATGGAATTCTGTCTTTCCATATCTCGAAGATGCCGACAAAAACGTACAGACATATGCATATACAATCATTTCACAAATATCCAACGTCCAATCATTCCAATATCATTTTGACGAAGAGTTACTTAACAAATTCTTAACCGCCTTAAATGATCTTGAAGAATTCGATCCAGTCATCCCATATCTCCTCATTATCTTCAAGAACTGCTGCAAGATCCCAATTGTTTCACGCGCATTATCACAACAAGTACCTTTCTTCCTTGATAGAATTTTCTCCATCCAAACAGAAGTTCCACAGAAAGAAAAGATGTCTCTTATCCTTGCAGAGCTTTCAAACGACGCAAATACCCATTCAGCCCTTCTCGAAACCGACCAATTAAGTCGTATCTGCAAATTACTCGGAAAAGAGATCATCAACCCCGAAAATGTCAAACTTCCAAACTCCAAGACCATCATGAAGAGTTCCCTTGTCATTTTAGACCATGTTTGCGAGAATCGCAGTATCCGTGCCAAATTACACGAATTTGGAGCCATCGAACACCTTATTTCCATCTTGCACTTGACAGTTACCGGTGAAGAATTCGCTCCAGAGCCAGAACCACAGCCAGAGAAAGCTCCAGAGCAAACAAACGTCAAAATGTCCGCAGCAGAAAAAGCTGCCGCCGAGAAAGCAGCAGCAGAAAAAGCCGCAGCTGAAGCAGAGGCAGAAAGATTGGCTGCAGAAGCCAAACCAGCACCCCCAGAGATTGGTAATGAGCGTGGTTGGAATATTGAGATCCAGATGATCATTCTTCCAATGCTTTACAAGATGATTGGTGATTCAAAGTTACAACAAATGCTTATTGAAAAATGCATCCCAGATTTGGAAGTTTTGATCACATCCCAATACCCAGATATCCTCAACACATCATTGCTCATCCTTGCTACATTAGCTGTTGACGAGACAGCACGTGCAAGCATTGCATCGAAGCCACATTTCATGCAAGTCTTGATCACATTGATTTCGAACAAGAAAGTTGCAATCAGAAGGAATTCTCTTCACGCAATCAATTCTTTGGCGATGAAGAGAGAAATCGCAGTCCAATTATGCGGTTTCGGATTGATCGAGAAGCTGAAGAGATTCGCAGCTTCTTCACAGATGATCAATCTCAATCTTTCACAGTTTGCAACAACAGCTTTGGAGACATTATGTTCTTCAAACATTGTCGCGAAATTCTGGGTGAAAGACGTTTTAGATTTCGGAGATAAGATCAAAGATGGTTTTTACTCAATCGATCCACGTTCTGAGACATACCAATCCCTTGATGACTTACTTAATGACGTCATCCATCTTAGAATAGAAGCCCTTCTTTTGGATCAAAACAGAGATCCAGGATTAAAGGACGCAATTCAAGCTCTCGCAGACAGTTTCGCTGTCAAAGTAGAGCCAACAGAAACACCACAACCAAAGAAGAAAGGAGCAAAAAAGAATGAACCTGTTGAACCACAAGTAACAGTTGTCATTCCTGAATGGCCACACATCGCAAACAGTGTTGCACAGTTTGTTATCCAAAAAATGGGAGGAGCTTTCGAAGGTGGAAGAATTCCTTACGAAGCAGAAGTCTCTAGATGCAAGTATAAGACACATTCTGATGTCGTTATGCTTGGCCAATTGCAGGTTGGTGCTATTCGCCACAGAGCTTTGCTGTTCAAGTACTTGGCACAGCTTTACGGAATGGATGTCTCTATCAAGAGAAACAGAGAAGATTTGACATGCGAAGTTCAAGTTAGAAAGGGTGGCGATATTTATGGAGTAACACTTAGTGGAGATACTGATGTTTTGACACCAATACAAGTCGCTCCACAAGCTGAAGCACCTCAACAACAACCAGCTGATCAAAAACCACCTGAAACAAAATAAATTTATGATTTTTTTTATGATATAATAAAAAGACCTTCGTATTTTTAAAATTTATTGATTGTTCAAATAAATATATGCAATTTATTCAAAACACTTTCTTAGTCTTTATGTCAATGATTTTTTTTCCCATTACTAGGTGGGTAGCTGTTAAAAATAGTATTAAAGTGTGGTTATTTACCCAATGATTGTTTTTCCTTCACTAATGCTCAGAGGTAATTGAATTCAATGTACAGGAAGACAGTCTTCACTTTTTGACAAAATTTCCTCAAATTGACAATGATTGAATTTTGTCAAATATTTTGAAAATATTATTCAATTATATCAATATGCAGGCTTACTTAAATACTGTAATATAAAATAATTTACAATATTCAAAAGAAAACTACAGTTTGTTTGAATGACTTTGAAATAAGTCGTCTCTTCTGGATGACGATGTTTGGTACTATTACTTTCAAGGCAGATTTACGGGCAGTAAAATCGTAAATTGTTTAAACTGTAATCCAGATTCTCAAAAAGGTCAATATTACTTAGATTCATGCAATTTTATTGATGATAATGATCAAGTTATTGACTTCAATTCTGTTTCAAACACATTATTTTTGCATAACCATTGCTATTTCAATAAATGCAGCTCAACAGGCAATGGTGGTTGCATCAATTTCGTCACTGGTAGCAACAGTTCGATTGTTCAACGAAGATTTTGCTGTAGCGTATGCCAATACCAACAATTCGGAGAATTTTCATATACAAAAGTTGGGACAAATAACATTAATTTTTTTAATTGAGTGCTCTTTTTATGATACAGGAAACGAAAAAGTTGGTGACCGTGGAATCAACGCTGAAAATGGCAATATTCTAGTTTCATCTACTAATTTCTCAGATTGTAAATCTCTAGCGAAATCAGTTGGACATTTTGAGTGTTCTACACATAATTACGTAACAAAAATTAATTATATAACGATTGTAAATAATAAAGTGACAAACTGGGAAGGTGAAATGTTCAATATTTATTATAATTCGTCTTTGCAATATTGTAATTTCATCAATAACACGCACACAGGAGTTGGAATTATTTATCATTATGATGGCCCTCTAATGATCGAAAGTTGTGCATTTATTAACAACACATCACCAAAAAATTCTTATTTGATTAAAAATGACCGTGATCTGCTAACTGTAAATAATTGTTTCATCGATGATTCTATTCAAATTACATTTCTTAGTTATGTATATCCTCAAAATATAAAATCAATATATACTAACAAATTGAGACATTTTTCAACAGGTATTTGCCAAGCAGAGTTCCCAATTATCATTAAAGGTTTGAGCACAGATGAAATACTTATCAATGATCATTCTTTTTTTATATATTTGATTTATTTCTCATAAATAAACATTAAAACATGTTCTTGAGCTAGATTTATAAGCATAATTTCTTAGATCAGAATATCAAATATATGAATGAGTGAAAGTCTAATGCAAATGAAATAGTTTCGTCGTATATCTCACATTGAGTGGTTACATATAATATATTTGAATTGGCCAATAAAATAATAGTTAATCTAATTGGAGTTGGTTGAATCTTTAGTATGAGTTCTGGTTTTTAAGTTTGGAGCCATAAATTTAGAACAGCAATATGATAAGGCAGATAAGATTTCGGAAAGATTTATTTTTCGAGTGTCATAGAAGGATAATTCCTTTTATTTAAAATGAGATTTTGAATCGGATTGAAAATATATCATAATGGTTAACCAATGGTTTATGTTTTAATTTTAAAATTTAGACAGAAAGATTCTTATAGTTCTCTCATTTCATGTACGTTATATGATAGTTTTACAATAGCAGTTTAATAGAAATTTGAGAACTCGGATCTTACTAATACCTATATTAGATATCAGTGTGATATTATTAGAGCATGATTTAAACTTAACAATCATTATTGAAATACCTCTCAAATTGTTTATATATGACGGTTATTTTTCAATTTTATGCTTTCATTATTCACCTTTTTCGAAAGATAACTTTAAGGTCACTGTTCATAACTTCACAGAAGGATCTGCAACTGGAAAAACATATGATAACCCATTTAGCATCGTTGGTGGAAATATTATAAATGAAATTAAATGTGCTGACTCCTCTAAAGCGTGCAAAGTTCACATAGTTACTATTGAGCCCCCATATTTTAGTGAATATTCATCCCAACCTACATATTTCACAACAAAAAATAACTTTGAATTTCAAAGTGATATCATTTTCACAGAAAGTAGATATATTAGTTTCACAGTGACAGCACATAGTAGTAAAGATAAGGAAATCGAATTTAAAATGGATAAATACCAGGCATATTACGAACTCTATGATACAAACAATCAAAAACAGGAACATAAATTAAGTGGTAAAACAATTTTGGCGATTCCAAAACGTGGAAAAGATAAAGAAATAAATGATGTTGCAAAAATGATAATAAAAGAAGTTAAAGCATCATCAGAAGATGATTCAGAATCATTATTTGGAGAAGATATCTTTTATTCGATTCCATTTGGTGTTAAAACAGAAAAGGAACTTATAGAGCAAATGAAAGTTGAACCTGAGAAAAATCAAACAAATTCTGAAGAACAAGAAGATAATAAGAAAGAAGAAAAAGGAGGCCTTGGCACTGGTGCAATTGTTGGAATAGTAATTGGAGTTGTTGCTGCTATTGCTATTATCTGTATTCTGGTTTGGTTCTTTGTCTTGAGGAAGAAATCAGATAATAACGAATCCAGTTCAGCAAGTAATTAAAAAATATTTTTATACTTTTTTTTTCGGATTAGTTTTGATGATTTCTAAATAGGATTGTAAAAGATTATTGATATTGCTAATCTGTATATTTTTTTTAAAACCTAAGGTTGTATTTATTGCGCAACATCTCTCAAATCTTGGTTGTATTCATTTGCTGGTTGTTCAGAACCTGCCATTTTTATAAATACGAATTCTCATGAAAAGAAAATTAATTTATCGAGATTTATTCGGAATGCTTCATGTGATTAATTTTTGTAATCTCTTCTATCGAGTTAAAATTGCTTAAGCTATCTCAGAACTTCTTCCATTTCACATTCCTAAAATTAGAATATTCAGAGAGAGATTATGTTAAGGCCTTATTAACTGGGTTGATATAATTTTAAGATTTACAATTCTTAAAATCATTAAGTCATCCATCAAATTTAAACTATACTGATAATCATGGTAATTTTTAGATTAATATGAAAACATAACAATGGATAGAATTTATACTAAAAAACTTGCAGTTTTTATTATTAACTGTATGGCATTCAACGAAAACGCACGGTGATGTTGGATCTATTGTAACTGGAACATTTAAGAACTTCTGGGAATGATATTCCGGACAAACAAAGACAGATATCTGAGATGAATATGAAAAATCATTTTGAATTCTCACCCCAAAATAAATCAATTTAATTTGTCCAGAATAATCGGCAAAAGCGTTCTTTGTTATTATTGTATTTCCTGTAATTATAAGGGTAAAAGATGCTGGAGCTCCTACGAAACATTTATTAGGTATCGTTTGAACTCCAGGAGGAATAACAAAATTCTGACATTTATTACCAACAAAGCAATAGGCAGCAATTATTTGGCAACGAACATCTATTGAGAATGAGGAGTCGCGCGGTAAAATAAAAACTAATCGAGTTTTATTTTTTGTATATAGTTGAGTTTTATTAATAACTGTATAATTTTGATTGTTTTCTGAAATCTCAATGCTAACTAAATATGGATTATATGAAAATGCTCCATCACCGATGTATTCAAGTGAATCTGAAATTGTAACTGATTGGAAGTAACATGAAGCAAAAGAAAGAAATTCAATAACTTTAAGTTTAGATGGAAGGGTCAAATTAAATCTGAAAAATGTAAGATCGAAAGCTTGACTTCGAACGTATAATAAATCTGATGGGAAAACAATATTTGTAAATTTATTACTAATGTAATAAAATGCTTTGGATGCAATTTCTGTGACTGTATATTGCTTTGATTCATAAGAGATAGAATCTGGAAAATTTAATTCTGCTTTACACTCACCATTGCAACCTAAAACACTAGCGGTGAGATCTAGATCATTAAGTGAGTACTTAAAATCTTGATATGTGAAACTTGTCTTTGAGGTAATTTAGATAAGTTGGTTTGACATTTTTAAAATTTAAGGTTGACAACGGGAGTTTCACAAAATTTTATATTTAAATATCACTTTGTTGATCTGTACATTGTACCAAACAAAACTTCTTCAGTTCAATGTTTAAACTCCATGCGGAATAATAATTTGCATTTAGTTGTAATAAAGCAATTTTCTGCTATTGTTTTACATCAAATATCTATGGAGAAACTGGAAACTAATGGTATTAGTTCAATATAATTTTATAACTTTTATGAACATCAACATTACTAATAAATAATCACAAATTTTTAAAGTGTGTGTATTACCTTCAATATTGTGATACTAAAAGACTATCAAATTGATATATTGGTACTGCACGCCGATATAAATAAAAGAAAAAACTTATTTTTTAGGATTGCTATGTTGGAAGGAACTCCAACAAGCATGGAGAAAAAGATGGCTCAGCTGAGCAAAGTCATCGAATACCTTATGTCGCATCTTGAAGAACGTATTATGATCATTGAATACCTCCATAAAAAGGGAACTTCAGAAGTTGATACGTTATTAAATCAAACTTGTGAAAAATTAGAAGCTTACGCTAAAGAAATCGAGCAATCCTTTTCAAACGCTCCAGAATCGATATCAAATCAATACAAAAAAGATTATCAGACAATTATAGATGGATATCACTCTTTTAAAAGGAAGCAAGTTCATAAATATCATGTTGTTCAGCGCGCAACTGAAGAGCTTAAACAACAAGTAAGCTCTTTAGCAACCGAAATCAAGCCACAGCTTGAGCAATACACGAAATTCTTTGAATCAGATTTTAACGCAAGCCATGATGCTAATTTCGAAAAGAAAATGCAGATGGAAGAAGAACACAAAAGAAAAATAATGATACATGATAAGGAAGCCAATCAAAAATACCAACAATACGAACAAGATGCGAAAACTTCCGAAGAACATTTAATAATTGACTACAGACGTAAGATAGCTAACATCAGCGTATTCAATAAACTCAACCCGAAATCAAAAACAAGAGCAATTGAATGGTTACATGCAAAAAAGAAACAAATTACAGAACTAAAAGAAACGTTAGAGCAAAACAGACAAGAGATCATTAAACTAATGCGAAATAACAGTAACTACTTGTCCTCAATTAAAGGAAAATCCGTAAATTTAATTCGACAAATTTCAATCGAGAAAAAGAAAGTCGATCAGAAAATGACAGACATCGAAAATGGATTCGTACTTGAAGACTCTACCGAATTACAGACTAAAAAGAAAGATCAGCTCGTTACTTTTCATACAGCAGAAAATAAAATCAGATTTCAACTTGAAAAACAGGTCAGAGACCAAAATGCAGTTGTTGATGAATGGAAGAAAAAGAATTATGTTGATTACGATAGTATTTTCCAGAAAATTAATGACGATCATGCAAAAGAAAGAAATTTATTAGATGAAAAACTAAAAAAAGAAGAAAAGGAATTTATGGATGCTCTGAAAGCATTACAAAAGAAATATGATGATCTTGCTGCAGATAAAATCGATGATTCTGACATAGAAAAGCAAAAATCGGAACATGCCAAAATTATTGAACAAGAAAAGAACGATTACGTCATTGCTCTTGAGAATGAGAATAGATCTTATAGTAGAGATAGTAATTTACTACAGAATAGGCTTGAAATCCTTAATTCTGTTAATAAACAAATTGAATCTTCCAAAATTACAAAGGAACATCTTAAAAAAGAGCTCCAGCATTTAATAGAAATAGGTACTGTTAAAGAAGAAAAGATTAATATCATGAATGATCCAAAATTCGCAAGTCAATATTATTCTATCGATGATCAACTGAATTCTAACTTAGAATCAATGCAGGATGAAATGGATTCTGAAATACAAGATGTTAAGACTGATCTGACTAAGGTTTTCAATAAACTTTCCGGTGAATATGATTCAGAATTAAAAGTTAACCTTAAATCAGTTGAAAAAGAGTTTGAAACTAATGAAATCGACGAAATGATTAAAAATTACAAGGAAGAAATCCAAAAACTTGAAGAAGAATACGATTCTTTACAAGCTCATTTAATTGTTGACGGAGTTGATGTAGATGAGTTGTTTGAGAAGCGCCAAACATTAATAAAACAACATGACAGTATAAGAGATGAATATATTGAACAAATGAAGAAAGAATTTGAAGATGCAAATCAGGAAGTCAAATCTGAGGAACTAGAACCACTTAAATCAAGACTTGATAAAGTTAAAACAGAAAATACCAATAAATTGAATGAATTGGACCAAGAAATCGAGTCATTACAGAAACAACTTGAAATTTATAAACAAAAACAAACTACTGTTGAAGATCCAAGCGAAGACATAATCAAAAAGCTTGAAGCAGAGCTTGAAGAGTTAAAATCTCAGTCAGAAAAACAAATTTCAGAAGCAAATGCAAATTATCAAAAAGTTACTGAAGATTTGAAATTTATGGATGATTACGAACATAACCCAGCTACTATGGACTACGAAAATGACGGACAAATTCTAGAAAACGCTAAAAAACAAATTGAGATGAATCTTGAAAAATCAACCAGAGAAATCAATATCAACTTCGACCAAGAAAAATTCAACATCAATAAAGAACATTTCCTTAAATCCAGGGAAATTAAATACCAAATCGGAGAATTGGAGTTTAAGATGAAGATGGACGAAAATGCATTCAACAATACGATGGATGAAAAGGATGTCTCCAATTCTAATACATTTGCAGGAGAAAGTTCCTTAATTCAAGATTCAAATAAAGAAATTTTGAATCAGAAAGGGGAGAAACAGAAAGAACTCGAATCGTTACAAAAACAACTCCAAGAGAAGAAAGAAGATAACGAAAAACTCAAAACTTCTGAAGAAATTATCAAAAAATTGCAGTCAGACATTGCCGACAAAGATGGAGAATTTGTAAAATATGCTGCAGAACTCGAAGCAGTTAAGATTGCTCTTGCAGAGGCCATGAAACAAGAATCAGCACCAAAGAGACCTAGTTCAGCACTTGATCGTACAAAGAATAGATCTGCACCAAAGATTATCACTCCAAAACTTAATTAATTCTATATTTTTTGTTTTGTTATTTATTTGTGTATATTATTAAAACTTGTTTATTATTTTTGCAATTAAGTAAGGACTATTTTGATATTTCGTTTGCATAGTTCATGATTCTTATGTAATTTGATTACATTCCCATATTGAAATTTGCTCGATGGATTATCATTCTCCAAAAGAGTATGGAAAATCCAAAAGGCAAACTCAAAACTTCAACGATTATGATTCATTAAGTCCAAGCCGTTTATCTCCAATCAAATCAAGCCAATCTAAAAATACGTTAAAAAGCTTATTAGAGTATGAAAAGTCATTCCTTGAAACAGAGCAAAAGCTAATGGAAGAAAAGAGAAATTTAGAGAAAAGAAAGGAAATTGCAGAAGAAAAACTTCAATCTCAAACAAAACCCGTTGAATCAACAAAAAATATCAATTTACTTAATGAAAATTCCGAAATTGCAGAAAGTCTCGTCGATCAAGATTACATTTACAACATAGAAAAAGAAATTCAAATTGAATCTTCTAAAATTGCTGATTTACGTGCCATTTTAGACAATCCTCCTAGAAGACAATCACAATATGAAGTACCAAGTAATCCATCAGTTCATGAAACTAAAAATCACATTGATTTAGTTTGTGATTCAATTAGACGAAAACAACAAGAGGTTAAAGAACAAAAAGAAAGTATTAAGCAACTTGAAAGAGAAAATAAACAGGTTCGAGATGATTTAGAGGCCGAATACAATGAACGAAATAAACAAATTCAAAAATTAAGAAAAATTGTTGCAAAACTCAAACAAAACAGTGAATCAAAAGAACAAGAAGTTAACAGAATAAACGAATTAAAGAGAAAACTTTCAAACCTCAATGAAACTAAAGAAGAGTTATTGATTCACCTAAATAGAGACGAAATTGCAACTCCAAAACTTGATGACCTTCAAAACGAAATTGAAAAACTAAAGAAGACATTAATTGAAAAAGAAAATATATTACGATCTGAAGAGAATTTTTATGAACAAGTAAAATGTGAAGTTGACTCATTAAAGAATCAAGTTTCAAGAAAAGAAGCAACACTAGAAGCAAATGAGAAGGATATTAGTAGAATGGAAGAGAAAGTTGATGCTTCTGGAAACGGATTTGATAATGCACTTAAAACAATGAAGAATCCTTCAGGATCTGCAACTGATGATATATATACGTACACACCACATCATAGTTTGGATTCAAAGCGTCCTTCTGCTCTTGAATTAAATACTAATTATAGTTCAACAGAATTATCAGTTTCCAAAGTAAGTTCTAATAGTATTTCAAATAGTCCAACATCTCCATACATAGATGAACTGGTTAGCTTGTTTAGTTAATTTCAATACATTTATATATTTATTTCTTGTTTGAATAAACCTAAAATCACTCATATCCATTTTCGTCTAAAAATAATTCTTAAGGATTAATATCTTCTGAGAAAAAGTTATTGCATTATATCATATGTAATCACTGTATTCGACTAAGCAATATCATGAAAATAATCCATCCAAGCTATTTATATCTCAAAAGCCAATGATAGCAAAATTCTTGGTTCAAAATATTTTACAAAATAAATTAGTCAGGGGAGATTCGACGGAATATTTATGCACAAAAAGGCTTGCTTAAGGATCAACATCGCAAAATCCAGGAATTCCAGCATTTACATAATCTTATATCCATGGATCACAATGCACACATATTGAAAAGTACCAATGCCTTTAGATTTAAAAAAAGTTCAAGTAAAGTATTCTGTCATTTGCAGTTAAATAAAACCTAACATCAAAAAAAAGCCAAACTTTCGCCTTCATTGGTTCAAATTGATAGGTTATACAAAAACTATTTTTCGAGGAAATAACATATTTTTTGTATTTAAAGGCACAAAAACCTCTAGATAGGATTGACTAGAAAAGGCGAATCTTTCAGAGGTGATATAGTGGGGAACATGGAGCAATTTTGCTCTCAAACTTTCCCATCTTACATTCAAAATTACCGCTTGGTATAGACTTTTTGAAATGGTATGGACTTTTTTTACTGACGTTATTATTTACTAAAAATCTTTCCAGAAAAATCAAAAACATCAAGACGCATTTTATCACTAGGACTGCTATCTACATTTTTGCCTGTTTGAATCAATTTGAATGATATAAATTTATCATTTGTGTTTAGTGTATATTTTCGAATTTCTCCTGCATTTAATGGCGATTGATTGACTTCATGAATTATTTTTGTTTCTCCTTTAAAAGTTGTTCCTTCAACTTTCCACGTTTGAAGCCGACATGCAGAGTAACTTCCCCCACCAGGGAATGTCCTAACAATATATTCAGTCAGTTGAATTGCAAAGTTTTGTTTTATCTTCCACTGAACCCAAGAATTAGGAATATTTTCAGTACTAAAACATGCATCAGTTCTATATTTATTAATTACATCAAGAGAGCCTGATTCTATAGATGAAGCAAACATTTCCGCTTTCGAAATAATTATTTGCTTTAATTAAAATTCTATCACTAGATTTAGGATTTCTGGATCTTAGTAATGAATCAGAAAGTGAGTTAACAACACATTGATAGTTATTTGAATCTACTATATCTTTCATTGATTTGATAATTTGTTCATTACAAAATTCAAAATGAATGTTTTCAATCAATGAATATAATTTTTCGTTTTCTTTTGTTAAAGAAATAACAAAGTTAGCTAATGAATCTTCATCTTTAAACACAAGTTCATTGCTGCTAAATATTTGCTGCAAAATGTCAGTTCCAAGTTTGTTCGAAATTAATTTGAGTTTATTTGAATCAATCTCATAGAAATGTGATGATATATATTTAATGCATTCAATAATATTTTCCTGTGAAGAAATATCGTAATAAAATTCAAGTAAATCAACACAATTATTGTTATCAATTTTCATTTTGTCAATAACATGCATTTTATATAAATTAGTGAGTTCGTGCATTTCAAGAGTAATGCCGATATGGAAAAGGTCCTTCAAAATTGTTTCATCACATTCAATATCCGTTTTATTGTATTGAAGAATGTCTTTTAATACATTATACGTTTCGGGTGATTTTATATCTGTAAGAATATCAATTTTAGCAATATTATTGTCTAATAAATATTGAGAGTAAAAAGTTTGAGAAATTGCAACTGCAAATGATTTAGTAAGTGTGATTTCAACGTTGTTGATTGACAATATAACTTTGTCAAGCGCTTGGTAGTTATTAATTCTCTGTAAGATTTGGTTATTGAGCTGAATCAAGACCATTATTTTTTACGCCCGTAAAAATTGAGGGGGGCACAAACTTGCTCAGTGAGGTGAAGTGAAAAATGACAGGTTTACATGTCAGAAATGTAAAGTGCCAGATTTGAAACAAAAAATGGATTAATTTATTATTATATGATAGAGAGATTTGGTAAGTTACTATCAAATTTGTAAGTAAGGGAAAAAAGTAAGAAAGAAAAAAATTTTTAAAAAATAAAAAGCCACTCGCTTCGCTCGCGGTTGACAAAAAGAACAAATTCGAAAAATAATTGTATGAAATTACGAAACTAAGCCGCGAGCGAAGCGAGCGGCTTAAGTAAACAACATATTTCAGATTATCGATACTAAAAATTTTTTTATTTTATTACATTTTTTTGCATTTTTTTAAAGCTTCTTAACTTAAATCATGGAATGTCTCAAAGACAAAAGTAGCATACAGCATGTAAAGCTAAAGAAAGATAATCATAATTAATACCTTAATTAATATTAGCATTTTTATGTGCAAATTTAAAAACATTCTAATACAATAAGAGCAGTTTCCAAAAGTAGCAACAGCATGCAAAGCTAAAGAAAGATAATCATAATTAAACCTTAATTTTTAATATTACGCATTTTTAGGTGCAAAATTTAAAAACATTCTAATACAATAGAGCAGTTTCCAAAAGTAGCATACAGCATGCAAAGCTAAAGAAAGATAATCATAATTAATACCTTAATTTTTAATATTACGCATTTTTAGGTGCAAAATTTAAAAACATTCTAATACAATAAAGCAGTTTCCAAAAGTAGCATACAGCATGCAAAAGCTAAAGAAAGATAATCATAATTAATACCTCTTAAAGTTTAAAATCTGATTTTTTAAAAATCAAAATATTAACTTTAATACATACAGCTTAACCTTATACTTGTTTTCTCTTGTTAGAAAGCAATCTTACAAAGCTAACAATCCTAAAAAATAAAGAATTAAAATTTAATAATTTAATCTAACAAAGTTAGTATACAAGTCTTGGGTATGGTGGCATTGCGTTCTACCTTACCCAATACTTGTGAATTTGACACTTTACAAAACTGTTAACGTATATTTTACAACATGAACGCAAAAACTAATTTAACCTTAAATATTTACAAAGCCGCCAACCACTTCACTAACGAACTCACTAATGTAAAAAATAAACGTTCTCACTATCGTTCTCACTAACGACTTCACTAATGTTCTCATAAATTTTCCTCAATATCTTCATCATCAGTGTTAACCCTATTGTAGTCATACTTGAAGCCATAAACTTTCTCTAACTTCTTAACGTACAATTTACATAACTTACCTTCGTCATCGTATGGTTTAATGATATAACTATTTCTATCTTTATACACAGTCAATGAAAAGTCAACTGGTCTCGGATGTATTTGAAAGAACATGTTATGCTCAGGAAGGAAGAATAAATATTTAAATGTATGTTTGTTATACTGTGGAATTCGAATGAGTTGCTTTTGTTCTGTCATTTACATCCAAATAAAAAATTTCAGTAAACTTAAAAATAAAATAAAAAATTAATGATATCACCACCCGCACACGTATGAAAACATAGCACAAAAATAAATTTAGGGTAGAAGGTTAGATCTAACCCGATATCTAACCTCTTTTCTAACCTAGCCGCAAAGCGGCTCTGACCCTTTGGGTCTGTTGAATTCATTGCTTTATAACTCTCTTCCTTTCTCCAACTCTTCTAACTTCTTCTTAAGTTCAGCAATGTTGTCCTCATGAAGTTTAATCTTCCTTAATATACCTTCTCTATCTAATGGTTGCTTTATCTTTCTAAACTGAACTCTACCATCCTTCATAGTATGAATGTAAAAACCTTCTGGAATAGTTCCTGATTTAATGTATTCTACCAAAAACTTTTGTTTCATTGCTTCAGTGACTTTAGTCGTCATTTTACTCTAAGGTGAAGCTAGCACAGCGATAATGGATTTCATGACTTTTTAGTATTTCATGCAATCTTAACAGATAGCCTTATAAGTACTTCCAGTGTCCCTAGCTGTCCCTCCTTTTTATATAACTCCATGACATTTATAATCTCGCGAAACTTAACAGGTAGCATAACAGATTAAAATCAGATGAGGTTTTGAACCAAAATTTCTAAGCAACGTTGTCAAGGATTTTGAGGAACTAGGGACAGAGTGTGGCAAAGTCCAGGATTTAATTTATCTTCATCTGTTTCATCAGCTATCTCATCTAATATGCCAATATTTTATTCATAACTCGTGGCAAACTCACTAACTTTCGTTATGTTCATCTGCATGCTTCATCTGATAGAAAGTATGACTTTCATTTATTCTGTGAGATAATGAAAACTACTAGGGACAGAGATCATGGCAAAGTTTATGACTTTCATTAATTCTGTGAGATAATGAAAACTACTAGGGACAGAGACCATGGCAAAGTTTATGATTTAATTTATTCTCTCACTAACAACAAACACAAACTCCAACACTAACATCAAGTACTAACTTCAGCACAAATGACAAACACTAACAACAAACACAAACTCCAACACTAACATCAAGTACTAACTTCAGCACAAATGACAAACACTAACAACAAACACAAACTCCAACACTAACGACAAAAATAAATGTCCTCACTTCTTAACAAAGTAATATGTGCTTCTTACACCACCATAGCTCAAACGTTTCTTTTCAAACATCGATTGAAACTTATTTTGAGCCATTGGCTTTAGTCTCTTTTTCTTCAAATACGCCAAGAAATCTTCTTCACATCTTTTCACTTCATAGCCTTCTTTAAACTCCTCCTTGTTAAGTTCTATGAAATCCTTTATCTCATTCTTTGTTGCAATGGCTTCTTCACGAACGACATCGTGAACTATTTCATCATTGCATTCATGTATGACCTCCTCACTGTTCTCATGAACTATTTCAACACTGTTCTCATGTATGACCTCCTCACTGTTCTCATGAACTATTTCATCATTGCATTCATGTATGACCTCCTCACTGTTCTCATGAACTATTTCATCATTGCATTCATGTATGACCTCCTCACTGTTCTCATGAACTATTTCAACACTGTTTTCATGTATGACCTCCTCACTGTTCTCATGAACTATTTCATCATTGTTTTCATGAACGACCTCCTTACTGTTCTCATGAACTATTTCATCATTGCATTCATGAACGACCTCCTTACTGTCTTTCATAAGCGTTTCAAAGTCTCCTTTACTCATTACTTCAATCTCATGCTGTTCACAGTAGTACTTAAACTCACTGTATATGTCTTTGTTGTATGTTATATTGCTTCCCATGTACTCCATGAATTTTTCAAGCACTTCCTCATAATTCACTGTTTCTTTCTTTCCACGACCTTCTAATATCATACTTGCTTCGTAAATATAACTTCTTGCAGAACCGTCTCGCTTTCTACTTCTCTTCACAAATTCTCTCATCTTGCCGCCAAATACATTTGAACTACATGCAAAGAATTCATTCTCCTTCGCAAATTCTTTATATCTTCTGTAGCACTCTGTACAATTCCATCCGGATACAAACTTTTCATAGAACTCCTCGTAAAACATTTGGTAAGGTGTTTTGTTCATTTCGATGAGTTCTTGTTTAGCCCTGGTGAATGGTATCTTCCTTACATCAAATTCACTTAAATCTTTCTTCATGAAGTACGTCAGTAAGTTTGAATAAAACTCTTCATTAAAGCTTTCAATGAGATTTGAGAAATATTCGTAATTTCCTTTGTATCTGCTGCTTACGTCAATGACAACAAATCTTCTGTCGTCTTTGTCAATCTTTACTGAGTTGAAGTTGTTAGATATCATGATGATATTACAAACATTCTCTATCTTTCTTACTGGCTGACACTTCTGATTTAAGTCCAACTGAGTCTCTGTTACTATTGACTTTAGTGCGTCGTGGTTCATGACCTTAGACGTATCGCATGAGCTTAGTTCATTGCATACGATGAGCTTCATGTTCTCAATAGCAGCATTGAATCTACCAACCACATTCTCTATTGCCGTTATATTATTGTTGGCGTACTTGCTAATGAGCTCGCATAGAACATTACTAAGTACATTCTTACCAGTTCCTTGCTTTCCTATTAACAAAAGTACTGTTCCAGTCTTTCCACAAGGATTTTGAACGATGTAGGCGAACCAGTTCAAAACATACTCATAAAGCTCTTCATCCTCATTACATATGACATCGTGAACATGTTTCAAATATCCTTCAATAATGCTTTCATCTACTTCATTCAGTACCTCATACTCATATCCTCTGAAATAGCTGTAAATGTCATCTCTTTCGTCAAAGAATCTCATGCCTGACTTCATAAGATAGTTCTTGTTCTGACCCGCTTCATAAATCATCAGTGCGTTCACATCCTTCTCTCTCAATACGTCCTACATAAACACTCTTCATGAGCTTATTGAATTCCTTGCTATCTACTGACACAAGTGTTGTTGTGTCTCGTATTCCATCATAATCTTTCACTAGATATGTCATACGTGCTCCGTCAATAACGACAACACATCTTCTTAAGTCATTTATAACACTAGCTATGTCAATACCGTCTTCACTCATGTACTTATTTTTCTCAAGTCCTTTAGTGTGAAAGTGTCTCTAAGTTCTATTTCAAGCAATTCATTTACACATCCTTTGCAATACTTCTCTATAAAATATTTCTGTCGTTCTTTACTAAGTTTCTTAACAGCTCTGAAGAACCATGTGTTTTGACTCAAACATCCTTCACAACTTCTCTCATTCATTCCTAGTTCTTTCATGTCATTATCTTCAACCTCTATGGTCTCATTGACTAAGGTCAAAGGGTTCTTAGTCATTGCTGGTCTTATCTGAAACAATGTTTGTGCAACAGGTTTAACTAGTTCAGCAACGTCCTTCCTTAATATGAATAGCTGTTTCCACTCATCTTTGCTAACAGTTCTTTCATAACCACTGACAGTAATGATTTCATTTGCTGACCTTAGACACTTATGTTCTATCATTTGTATTGCTTTTGTGTAAGGCTTTCGTGAGCATAGGTTGTATATGTCATTCCTGCAATGTTCATTCATGCCAATAGTACTAAATCCTTTCTTTGCTGTTGAGTGCATAATATCCATTAGTTCCTGTGTTCGTATTGCTGTCTCATAAAATACAACAAGACCTTTGTCATCTATGACGTACTTACCGAAAACATTGCTTATATTCTTTAACCATGAAATAACATCCTCATTCATGCTGTCAAACATGAAGTAAGGTCTTACATACTCTTCACTTATAAGATACTCCACAAAGTACTTGTTAAGCTCTATGTCCTCGTGAGCGATTTCATTAGGTTTGATATTAGTTCCTTTTGTCATTGCTGTCATGTACTTCACTCTCATAGTTCCTTTCAATAGCGTAAAAGTACTTCATTGTTTCATAACTGCTCTAAATTCTGTTCAAAATTCGTACAACATAACTTTTTAACATTAGTGAAAGAACATGAGCGAAACAACAACATCTAACATTACAGAAGAAGTCAATGACAATGCCGATGAAAACATTACAGAAGGAGCTAGTGAAAATATTGACGAGTTCAGTGAGGAAGAAGATATTGAGGACGTCAATGAGAACGTTAGTGGGAACAAACTCAATGGGAAACATTGAGAAATCATGAAGATTATGAGATTTGTACGACATATCCTTTTACTATTCGTCGAAAGAAAAACAAACATATTAAGAGTGAATGCTTAAATAATCATGGTTATATTGAGCTTAGTTTAAACAACAAAACACATTTAAAGCATAGAATTATTGCAGAACAGTGGATTGAAAATCCAAACAATTTGAAAGAAATAGACCATATAAATCATGATAGAACGGACAACAGAATCTCAAACCTTCGTTGGTGTTCTAAATCTGAAAACAATAGAAATAAAAGCAAGTATGGCGATATAGTTTATGAGTTCGTTGATGAAATATCTGACGAAGCTGTTGAAATAACAGATTATGGTAAGCATTCGTTTGAGTTCTACTACTATGTTGAGAATGAGGACGCATTCTATTATTATACAGGTCTTAACTATCGAAAACTTCATATAAACTTTACAAAAACAGGTGCTGCTTATGTTTGTATGATAGATACAGAAAACAAGAGAGTAATCTTATGCATAAACAAATTCAAACGCTTGTACGGCTTCATGTAGGACAAACATTATTTTTCAACACTAACGCCAACACGTAGGACAAACATTCATGACTAACATTACTGTATAACATAAATGATTTGTCATGATTTAATCGTAAATGTTTTGTCATGATTTCATCGTACATGTTTTGTCATGATTTCATCGTACATGTTTTGTCAAGACTTCTTCATCGTAATGAGCGTAAATGATCCAAAAATATATTTTAGGTGAAGAGGTGAGATCTCACCTCTTTTCTCACCTCTTTTCTCACCTCATGAATTTTCATGACTTCTTCATCGTACATGTTTTGTCATGATTTCATCGTAATGAGCGTAAATGTTTTGTCATGACTTCATCGTATATGTTTTGTCGAACTTAAACATAAATGTTTTGTCAAGACTTCATCGAAACTAAACGTATATGTTTTGTCATGACTTCTTCGTAATGAACGTATATGTTTTGTCAAGACTTCTTCGTATATGTTTTGTCATGATTTAATCGTATATGTTTTGTCATGATTTAATCGTATATGTTTTGTCAAGACTTCTTCATCGTAATGAGCGTAAATGTTTTGTCATGATTTCATCGTAAATGTTTTGTCAAGACTTCTTCGTATATGTTTTGTCATGATTTAATCGTACATGTTTTGTCAAGACTTCTTCATCGTAATGAGCGTAAATGTTTTGTGAAGAATATAACAACCGCCTGAATTCAGACGGTTGCTTTTTATACAAAATTCACACAGGAAAATTCTTGAGTTTTGGTTGAAAGAATACGGTCAAGCCAAAAGTGGCTCGACCTCAAAACAAACATTTTATGAGCTTACTAAGGCATTTATGAATGAATTCAAAGGTATTTGCATACATCCTGACCTCGTTCATTTTGTTGCTGAATGGTGCTCTGTAAAGTATGCATTTTATGTCAAAGATATTATGGACTCCATAGATAAGAAAGTTCATGAGAAGTTAGATGAAGAAGAACTCGAAGATACAGTAGAGAATGCAAAAACAAACATTTTATGAGCTTACTAAGGCATTTATGAATGAATTCAAAGGTATTTGCATACATCCTGACCTCGTTCATTTTGTTGTTGAATTCAGCAAAAATAATGTTTAGGGTAGATGGTTTTTAGGTGTCACTACGTCACCATGTCACCAGGTTAATTAACTTCTCTTAAAATTACTGACAACATGACATTTAGACAACAGTCCAGGAAATATATTTTATCGTATATGTTTTGTCATGATTTTATCGTTTATGTTTTGTCATGACTTCATCGTAATGAACGTAAATGTTTTGTCATGATTTCATCGTATATGTTTTGTCAAGTTTCATCGTATATGTTTTGTCAAACATGAACGTAAATGTTTTGTCAAACATGAACGTAAATGTTTTGTCATGATTTAATCGTAATGAGTGTAAATGATTTCATATAATTGCTTACCTCGGAAAACCGAGAGAAGAGATTCCATATGAAAATCGCAAGAATTTGGCTCCTGGTTTGAAATATTATTATGTTCATAGACTTCATCGTATATGTTTTGTCAAACATGAGCGTATATGTTTTGTCATGATTTCATCGTACATGTTTTGTCATGATTTCATCGTATATGCTTTGTCATGATGATTTCATCGAAACTAAACGTATATGTTTTGTCATGATTTCATCGTACATGTTTTGTCATGATTTCATCGTATATGTTTTGTCAAGATTTCATCGTAATGAGTGTAAATGAACCAAAAATAATGTTTAGGGTAGATGGTTTTTAGGTTATTCAATAATGAATTATTTTTGAAGAACTGAAGGTGTCACTACGTCACCATGTGTCACCAGGTAATTTAACTTCTCTGAAAAAATGAGACAACATGACATTTTGACAACAACACAGGAAATAAATGTTTACGTATATGTTTTGTCAAGACCTCATCGTATATGTTTTGTCATGATTTCTTCGTATATGTTTTGTCATGACTTCTTCATCGGAATGAGCGTAAATGATCCAAAAATAATGTTTATGTTAGAATGTTAGATCTAACACCTTTTCTAACATGTTTTCTAACATGGAGGATTTCATTAGATATACACATTCTTCCCTAAACATTATTTTAGTTAAAGTCCATCAAATATTTTTAGGATACTTTCAACAAATAATGTTTATATCAGATGAAACAGTAAAGTATTATATCTATTAAATCGTCTATGATGTAAATTGTGTATAGAATGAAATGAAGGAAGAATGTGTATATCTAATGAAATCCTCCATGTTAGAAAACATGTTAGAAAAGGTGTTAGATCTAACATTCTAACATAAACATTATTTTTGGATCATTTACGCTCATTCCGATGAAGAAGTCATGACAAAACATTTACGTTCATGTTTTGTCATGATTTCATCGTACATGTTTTGTCATGATTTCATCGTATATGTTTTGTCAAGATTTCATCGTAATGAGTGTAAATGAACCAAAAATAATGTTTAGGGTAGATGGTTTTTAGGTTATTCAATAATGAATTATTTTTGAAGAACTGAAGGTGTCACTACGTCACCATGTGTCACCAGGTAATTTAACTTCTCTGAAAAAATGAGACAACATGACATTTTGACAACAACACAGGAAATAAATGTTTACGTATATGTTTTGTCAAGACCTCATCGTATATGTTTTGTCATGATTTCTTCGTATATGTTTTGTCATGACTTCTTCATCGGAATGAGCGTAAATGATCCAAAAATAATGTTTATGTTAGAATGTTAGATCTAACACCTTTTCTAACATGTTTTCTAACATGGAGGATTTCATTAGATATACACATTCTTCCCTAAACATTATTTTAGTTAAAGTCCATCAAATATTTTTAGGATACTTTCAACAAATAATGTTTATATCAGATGAAACAGTAAAGTATTATATCTATTAAATCGTCTATGATGTAAATTGTGTATAGAATGAAATGAAGGAAGAATGTGTATATCTAATGAAATCCTCCATGTTAGAAAACATGTTAGAAAAGGTGTTAGATCTAACATTCTAACATAAAACATTATTTTTGGATCATTTACGCTCATTCCGATGAAGAAGTCATGACAAAACATTTACGTTCATGTTTTGTCATGATTTCATCGTACATGTTTTGTCATGATTTCATCGTATATGTTTTGTCAAGATTTCATCGTAATGAGTGTAAATGAACCAAAAATAATGTTTAGGGTAGATGGTTTTTAGGTTATTCAATAATGAATTATTTTTGAAGAACTGAAGGTGTCACTACGTCACCATGTGTCACCAGGTAATTTAACTTCTCTGAAAAAATGAGACAACATGACATTTTGACAACAACACAGGAAATAAATGTTTACGTATATGTTTTGTCAAGACCTCATCGTATATGTTTTGTCATGATTTCTTCGTATATGTTTTGTCATGACTTCTTCATCGGAATGAGCGTAAATGATCCAAAAATAATGTTTATGTTAGAATGTTAGATCTAACACCTTTTCTAACATGTTTTCTAACATAGAGGATTTCATTAGATATACACATTCTTCCCTAAACATTATTTTAGTTAAAGTCCATCAAATATTTTTAGGATACTTTCAACAAATAATGTTTATATCAGATGAAACAGTAAAGTATTATATCTATTAAATCGTCTATGATGTAAATTGTGTATAGAATGAAATGAAGGAAGAATGTGTATATCTAATGAAATCCTCCATGTTAGAAAACATGTTAGAAAAGGTGTTAGATCTAACATTCTAACATAAACATTTTTTTGGATCATTTACGCTCATTCCGATGAAGAAGTCATGACAAAACATATACGAAGAAATCATGACAAAACATATACGATGAGGTCTTGACAAAACATATACGTAAACATTTATTTCCTGTGTTGTTGTCAAAATGTCATGTTGTCTCATTTTTTCAGAGAAGTTAAATTACCTGGTGACACATGGTGACGTAGTGACACCTTCAGTTCTTCAAAAAATAATTCATTATTGAATAACCTAAAAACCATCTACCCTAAACATTATTTTTGGTTCATTTACACTCATTACGATGAAATCTTGACAAAACATATTACGATGAAATCATGACAAACATGTACGATGAAATCATGACAAAACATGAACGTAAATGTTTTGTCATGACTTCTTCATCGGAATGAGCGTAAATGATCCAAAAATAATGTTTTATGTTAGAATGTTAGATCTAACACCTTTTCTAAC